TAGGGCTGGGCAAATCTCCCGAACCGAACCGACCGAACTGAACCGAACTGAACCGAATCGAACCCGACGGTTCTTGTCAAATTAAATACCCGAACGGCTATTTGAATTGAGAACCGACGGGTACGGTTCGGTTCTCGGTTCTAGACCAAGATCCGAAGAACCGAATAAGAACCGAATATTTCTAATTTTTTTTATATTAAATAAATCAAATTATTTTAATTTTAATTTTTTCTAAAGAAATTAATAAATTAACAATTTCTAAATCCAAATTTTTGGCCAAATAATTTGTTTCATTTCTAATTTTTTAATTTTTGGCTCAATTACCCCTTCTATTGTCTCATTTCTTAGCCTAACAAGATCCAACTCACTAAATAACCCTAAATATATATACTAAAGTGTATAACGCTGTCTCGACTCTCGCAGCCTCGCTGACATTCCAAAACATATACAATCGTCGACCGACGCTGTGACCTCCGCCAACCGAAATTTTGATCGTAGCGATCATTTGAACAAGATAGTCTACGAGTCTATGACATTTCAAAACCATTGAATGTGTCATTAGTTGTATTTATATAATGCTGTTATAAATGTTAAAAAATTTAATTATAGTACAGAACCGAACGGAACCGAATCGAACCGAACCGAACTGAACCCGAACGGTTCCATAATTATATTTGGACCCGACGGTTCCATTTACTAAATACCCGAAAATTTTGGTTCGGTTCGATTCTCTTTAGAACCGAATCGAACCGACCCGTGCCCACCCCTACTTAGGACAAGCACCCAATTTCTAACATCAATACTATTCCAATTGCACAAGCTAAATACACAATAGTGCTCACATAGTGGGAAGACTTGATAATTTGAGTATGTAAAACAGTTTTGATTAACACACGTATCCAAGAAACATGGATATCGCCACATTGACCTGTATATCATAAAGGCATGTTTGGTACACCGCATATGATAGGACAGGACACTTCTTTTTTAATACCGTGTAGTAGTAGATAATTTACTTTACCAAACAAGCTATATAGGTTACAAGAAGTTCATCGGTAGCATGTTCAACTAAATGCCGTAGCTACACCTTCAGGCAAATAATCATTGGCATCCAATTGGAATCAACATGTAAATCAAATACTACAAATCAACGCGATATGGGGGTATACAAGATAAAGAATATGTAACTAATGAAGCAATCAATGAGACATAAAATTTAGTGATAATTCAGTGAGAACATAACAATGAAACTTAAACAAATTGTTATCTTATACCTCTATTGCCTTGCTTGGTGCAACCCGAATAACATTCACGAGATTACCCCTGAATAAGCCCTGCCATCCTTCATGCTTCAATATATTCTGGAATACTTCAGTCGTTGAATGGCCACAACTACCTACCATCAAATGAGTCCTTACTGTCTCCAGTGGAGCCACTGCAGTACGTGAAACTGCACCTGCAATCCCTCCGCTTATCAACCTCCTCAACGATGGATTCCCAATCTTAACTTTTAAGTTGAGACCACTTTTTTTCTTATTTTTCGTAGTCAGCACCCCTTCCTCTCCAACTTTCAAAGCTTCACCCGGCACCATTCCACCCATAGACAGACCAGGTTCTGGCAACCCGTGCTTCCCGAAAGAAATCGGAAGCTTTAAGGCATTGTCTGTAGATTTTGAGGATATCCCAAATCCCATCCCCATTTGCCCCACACATGCAAACAACCCCCCAATGTGATAATTCTCATCTTGGGGACACCACAAGAACCCAATTCCAGAATTCATCAACAGCTCCTCATTTCCCACACCTTTTGCCCTTCTTCTACCCATATGTTCAAACATTATAGAAAATAGAATTATCTCCCCAAAGTTTTGCAGTATTCAACACCACCAGAGCCCTCTTTTATATCCCACAGATATAAGAAACGGATGCTTCCCACACTTATGTATGAACTAAGTTTGCTAAAAATTCAAAATTTTCCTCCACCAACAACACAAAAACAAAGTTCAATACTCATGTATAACAATAAGGGTATACGAATACGAATATTCTGACTTAAACAAGGAAAACTACAAAAATGGGTGGAAATTACCACAAAAACGCTTCTTCTCCTAATTTGCTCTGCTCTCTTCGTCCCTTCCCTTCTCTGTAAAACGAAGCCGAGCTCAGTAGAGAATGAAGGGATGGGCGGAGAGTGCAAAACTTTGTATATATAAATATTGTATTGTTGCGCGCCCAAGCCCCGGAATAAACCTGAGACCCCTTCGTGTTCAAGTATACTTAAAAGGGCATGAAGCATGTTTCTGTATTGTCTCCCATTGAGAGCACCGGCTTGCATATGTTTTCGAGCCACCTCAAGAGGGAAAGTTGCACTGCTTGAAATTGCACCAGCTGCAGATCCAATTAAAAGGGTAGCAATATTTCCAATTTCCTCCTTATTGAAAACTTTCTTATAAGACTTTCTTAACGTGTCGTAGGCATAATAATTTGTGGCAGCATATGGTATTACTCCTATTAAACTCGGAGTGAGGCCTCTATATAGTTCTGCAGGTCCCTCTTCCCTTACAATTTTTAGGAATGCATCGACAAGATTTTTGTAGACGCCCCTCTGCAGATGAAAAGGGCAGTAAATGCAAAAAAATCTGACAAGGAATTACTATAGACTTGAATATTTTACGCTAATCGCGTTTATTATTTATTAGGCATTCATGATATAGGCCGCCATCACCAACCACCTTAATTTATATAATAAGCCCAATAATACGTCAAACCATATTTCATTCATATATTTTGTGAAACTTACAAGTATTATCCACTCTTCTATCTTTCATTTTTATCTATTTATAAACAAATCTCAAACATGTATTAAAGCTTATTGAACATATTTTTTAATTTTGAATAATGATATTCATCTAAATTATTATTAGTCCCCAATCGAAGTATAAGTGAAATGGAATGATATGATTGTACTTCTCAAATATAAGGGTAATGATCCATTCAACATGTCCATTCATGTAACTGATACCTAGATGATTGATTATTACAGATGAATAACACTATTTTTTTTTTTTACTTCACACATTTTATAAGATCTAAAACATACTGCTTGTTATTCAGATATTTTATAGGGCTTGTAACTTAAAAGCATGACTAAACACACGCTAAATTTGATTAATGAAAACAATTTAAAATCATATTATCATTTTGTAGAATAATTTTATTATAAAATAATTTTACGTTAATCATGAAAATGGGTAAGTGAATAAGGTAGAGCTAATTCCTGCAACAGCACCTGCAATTGGAGCAGCAGGTATGCATAGTTTGGGATGCTCTCCAGGTTTTGGTGTCAGCTGCTTCTTAACTGTGTCATAAGCAAATAACTGCACGTATTTCAGACAAAAGTGCCAATTTATAAGCAATACATACAGATTTATTAGTTAAAATCATCAGGACAGGATGTAAAGTACAACCCAACTTCAGAATAGGATGCCCATTTCTTTTTAACAACAATCCGTTTTTGTTTCCCTACGAGTCTACAACTGTCTTATCCTTTAAAATTGAACAAATCCACAAGGAGCTCATCAATGTGCCTGAAAATTGTTTACGCCATTATTTAACAATTAAGCCTTCAAAATCAAGTTAATGTTTCCCAGACAAACATATTTTTTTTAGCAGCAAGGAAAAAGTCAAGGACAAAAGTAGCTAAAATGCCAATAGTATATACTGATGGCCCTACATTATTAAAAGGAACTTTTGAAGAAATATCAACTCAAGTAAACTCATTATCACAACTTAGGACAAGCACCCAATTTCTAACATCAATACTATTCCAATTGCACAAGCTAAATACACGATGGTGCTCACATAATTTACTAGATAATACCGTGTAGTACTAGATAATTTACTTTACCAAACAAGCTATATAGGTTACAAGAAGTTCATCAGTAGCATGTTCAACTAAATGCCGTAGCTTGAACTACATCATCGGGCAAATAATCATTGGCATCCATTTGATCAACAAGTAAAACAAATACTACAAATCAACGCGATATGGGGGCATACAAGATAAACAATATGTAACTAATGAAGCAATCAATTAGACATAAAATTTAGTGATAATTCAGTGAGAACATAAAAATGAATCTTAAACAAATTGCTATCTTATACCTCTATTGCCTTGCTTGGTGCAACCCGAATAACATTCACGAGATTACCCCTGAATAAGCCCTGCCATCCTTCGTGCTTCAATATATTCTGGAATACTTCAGTCGTTGAATGGCCACAACTTCCTACCATCAAATGAGTCCTTACTGTCTCCAGTGGAGCCACTGCAGTACGTGAAACTGCACCTGCAATCCCTCCGCTTATCAACCTCCTCAACGATGGATTCCCAATCTTAACTTTTAAGTTAAGACCACTTTTTTTCTTATTTTTCGTAGTCAGCACCCCTTCCTCTCCAACTTTCAAAGCTTCACCCGGCATTGATTCCACCTTTCCACCCATAGACAAACCAGGTTCTGGCAACCCGTGCTTCCCGAAAGAAATCGGAAGCTTTAAGGCATTGTCTGTAGATTTTGGGGATATCTCAAACCCCATCCCCATTTGCCCCACACATGCAAACAACCCCCCAATGTGATAATTCTCATCTTGGGGACACCACAAGAACCCAATTCCAGAATTCATCAACAGCCCCTCATTTCCCACACCTTTTGCCCTTCTTCTACCCATATGTTCAAAGATCAAAGAAAATAGAATTATCTCCCAAAGTTTTGCAGTATTCAACACCACCAGAGCATATCCCACAAATATAAGAAACGGATGTTTCCCACACTTATGTATGAACTAAGTTGGCTAAAAATTCAAAATTTTCCTCCACCAACAACACAAAAACAAAGTTCAATACTCATGTATAACAATAAGGGTATACGAATACGAATATTCTGACTTAAACAAGGGAAACTACAAAAATGGGTGGAAATTACCACAAAAACGCTTCTTCTCCTAATTTTCTCTGCTCTCTTCGTCCCTTCCCTTCTCTATAAAACGAAGCCGAGCTCAGTAGAGAATGAAGGGATGGGCGGAGAGTGCAAAACTTTGTATATATAAATATTGTATTGTTGCGCTTGCCTTCGAAAGTAGCGTTTCTTGGGAAATGAAAAATATTTGGAAAAAGCTTGCTTTGGGTTAGTGCTAATTGATAGACTTGAATATTTTACGCTAATCGCGTTTATTATTTATTAGGTATTCATGATATAGGCCGCCATCACCAACCACCTTAATTTATATAATAAGCCCAATAATACGTCAAATCATATTTCATTCATATATTTTGTGAGACTTACAAGTATTACTTACTCTTCTATTTTTCATTTTAATATATTTATAATTTAAATTATTTATAAACAAATCTCAGACATGCATTAAAGCTAAATGAAATATATTTTTTAATTTTGAATAATGATATTCATCTAAATTATTATTAGTCCCCAATCGAAGTATAAGTGAAATGGAATGACATGATTGTACTTCTCAAATATAAGGGTAATGATCCATTCAACATGTCCATTCATGTAACTGATACCTAGACGATTGATTATTACAGATGAATAACACTATTTTTTTTTTTACTTCACACATTTTATAAGATCTAAAACATACTGCTTGTTATTCAGATATTTTATAGGGCTTGTAACTTAAAAGCATGACTAAACACACGCTAAAGTTGATTAATGAAAACAATTTAAAATCATATTATCATTTTGTAGAATAATTTTATTATAAAATAATTTTACGTTAATCATGAAAAGAATTTATTTATGAGATACCATTTGTGTCATATCTATTTTTGTTCTAATTGTAGTTTAGAGTCAACGTGTAACATATGCAATCGATTTCAACTACCACATGTAGAATCAACTTCAACTACTACCAAGTTTCTTCCAAATCAAAGCAAAAACCTATTCATTTTTACCTACAGAAAATTGCATTATTGGCCCTAAGTATTACTTCAGTTACGTTTTGGTATTCCAATTGTTCAATCAATATCAATAATGTCCACATCTTCACTAAATTATTTTATGATGATTTAGATTTTAACAGTTAACTGAAAATTAGTTGTAGAACGGTAATAAAAGATCAAGGATTCAGATCAATTTGCTAAAAGGACAATAGGTTGATGACCATAGTGCAATTTCTACTACCTATAAGGGGTGGGTGGGGTCAGTCACACATCATCCACATAATGCTTCGCTCATTTCTTACCAACTTTTTTTTTCCTTTACGGAAGCGATATAAAAATCCAATTTTTTTTCCCGAAAAAATTAATGGAAGGACAAATTATTCACGGTAATTATACTTTTATTTTTTAATAATCAGGTATTTGTACTTTAATTTTGTTCAATGGGATAGCTACATTTTTATTTTATTTCAATCGGATAAAATTGTCCAAATCAATCACTTGAATCACGAAAAACTGTAACGTGACAATAAATAAATGATGATCATTATTTATTTAATTAAACATTGTACTTATTCTATGTCTATAATTGCTTGTAATGACTATCATTTATTGATTGTCATGTCATCAATTTTCACAAACAGATTCAAATAAAACTATCTTAATTGAAGAATAGTTACTCTAATTGAAATCATATTAAAACCAAACTCGGTTCTGGCAACCCGTGCTTCCCGAAAGAAATCGGAAGCTTTAAGGCATTGTCTGTAGATTTTGGGGATATCTCAAACCCCATCCCCATTTGCCCCACACATGCAAACAACCCCCCAATGTGATAATTCTCATCTTGGGGACACCACAAGAACCCAATTCCAGAATTCATCAACAGCCCCTCATTTCCCACACCTTTTGCCCTTCTTCTACCCATATGTTCAAAGATCAAAGAAAATAGAATTATCTCCCAAAGTTTTGCAGTATTCAACACCACCAGAGCATATCCCACAAATATAAGAAACGGATGTTTCCCACACTTATGTATGAACTAAGTTGGCTAAAAATTCAAAATTTTCCTCCACCAACAACACAAAAACAAAGTTCAATACTCATGTATAACAATAAGGGTATACGAATACGAATATTCTGACTTAAACAAGGGAAACTACAAAAATGGGTGGAAATTACCACAAAAACGCTTCTTCTCCTAATTTTCTCTGCTCTCTTCGTCCCTTCCCTTCTCTATAAAACGAAGCCGAGCTCAGTAGAGAATGAAGGGATGGGCGGAGAGTGCAAAACTTTGTATATATAAATATTGTATTGTTGCGCTTGCCTTCGAAAGTAGCGTTTCTTGGGAAATGAAAAATATTTGGAAAAAGCTTGCTTTGGGTTAGTGCTAATTGATAGACTTGAATATTTTACGCTAATCGCGTTTATTATTTATTAGGTATTCATGATATAGGCCGCCATCACCAACCACCTTAATTTATATAATAAGCCCAATAATACGTCAAATCATATTTCATTCATATATTTTGTGAGACTTACAAGTATTACTTACTCTTCTATTTTTCATTTTAATATATTTATAATTTAAATTATTTATAAACAAATCTCAGACATGCATTAAAGCTAAATGAAATATATTTTTTAATTTTGAATAATGATATTCATCTAAATTATTATTAGTCCCCAATCGAAGTATAAGTGAAATGGAATGACATGATTGTACTTCTCAAATATAAGGGTAATGATCCATTCAACATGTCCATTCATGTAACTGATACCTAGACGATTGATTATTACAGATGAATAACACTATTTTTTTTTTTACTTCACACATTTTATAAGATCTAAAACATACTGCTTGTTATTCAGATATTTTATAGGGCTTGTAACTTAAAAGCATGACTAAACACACGCTAAAGTTGATTAATGAAAACAATTTAAAATCATATTATCATTTTGTAGAATAATTTTATTATAAAATAATTTTACGTTAATCATGAAAAGAATTTATTTATGAGATACCATTTGTGTCATATCTATTTTTGTTCTAATTGTAGTTTAGAGTCAACGTGTAACATATGCAATCGATTTCAACTACCACATGTAGAATCAACTTCAACTAGTACCAAGTTTCTTCCAAATCAAAGCAAAAACCTATTCATTTTTACCTATAGAAAATTGCATTATTGGTCCTAAGTATTACTTCAGTTACGTTTTGGTATTCCAATTGTTCAATCAATATCAATAATGTCCACATCTTCACTAAATTATTTTATGATGATTTAGATTTTAACAGTTAACTGAAAATTAGTTGTAGAACGGTAATAAAAGATCAAGGATTCAGATCAATTTGCTAAAAGGACAATAGGTTGATGACCATAGTGCAATTTCTACTACCTATAAGGGGTGGGTGGGGTCAGTCACACATCATCCACATAATGCTTCGCTCATTTCTTACCAACTTTTTTTTTCCTTTACGGAAGCGATATAAAAATCCAATTTTTTTTCCCGAAAAAATTAATGGAAGGACAAATTATTCACGGTAATTATACTTTTATTTTTTAATAATCAGGTATTTGTACTTTAATTTTGTTCAATGGGATAGCTACATTTTTATTTTATTTCAATCGGATAAAATTGTCCAAATCAATCACTTGAATCACGAAAAACTGTAACGTGACAATAAATAAATGATGATCATTATTTATTTAATTAAACATTGTACTTATTCTATGTCTATAATTGCTTGTAATGACTATCATTTATTGATTGTCATGTCATCAATTTTCACAAACAGATTCAAATAAAACTATCTTAATTGAAGAATAGTTACTCTAATTGAAATCATATTAAAACCAAACTCCGAATGAACAAAATTAAATTGCAGTGACTTCATAAACACTAGACGAAACTATAGTATCGCTAATGGAATTTATCAAATTTTATTTATTTGCTATTGTTCTTATATTATGTGATCCGAAATTTAGGTTTTTGGATAACTTTTCACATTTTCTCTTTTTTTCTTATTTTCTAATTAGTAAAAGAACTTTATTGGCTCTTAATTTATTGCCATAGATTATGGATAAAATTGATATTTTATTTTGCTCCCGTAACAGTTGGGACCACTTGAAATCTTGGAATTTTACATGTAACAACGCTTAGATAGCAAGTCTACAAACAAGCTGTCAGCCTGGCAGGCGTACATTTGCGGGGAACTGGGCTGGGTTTGAGCTCAGTCGCCTTCCAGCCCATTTGAATTTTTTATGAGTAATTTCCACTAAAAGAAAAATTCCATAAATAAGATATTAAGTATGACAGATTTCAAAATCAAAAAAATAAGTTTCAAACTTCTCTTTATTAAAATTTATTTATAATTTAATTCTTTAATTAATTATTTTATTAATTAAATATATTTAGATCACATATCTATATAATTTGGTCACGAATTAATAATTTAATTACTAATTTATTATTCACAATTCAAAAAAATTATATCACAACTTATTTTACAATCATAATCGAAAAATTTTGCAGGTTAAAGTTTGTTCATCGATCACAAATAAACAAATTAATTAGTTACAATTTATCAATTTATTGGTCATAACTTATTTCTGGATCACAAATCAAAATTTTTATAGATCACATATTATTTTTTATCACAAATAAATTTTTTTTATAGGTCATGAATTATTCAATGGTCACAGAATCTAAACTTTTATTGGTCACAACTCATACATTCATTGCAAATTGTTAGGTCGCATATTATAAATTTAGTCAAGGTCACAGATTTGACCACATATTATTTACCAATTACAAATTAATAATTTACTGATCATAACATAATTGGTCACAAACACTCTTTCCACGCACTCCAACACCGTCAACCACCACCTTGTCAAAGCCACCACCACCGCTAGCTTCATCAGCACCCAAATCCCCAATAACACCAAAACACAAACAACCACCACCATTCCAACAATCAAAAAAATACCACCATCACTACCTACACTACTGCACCACCACCATCCTATAACCTGTAACACCACAACCACAGCAACGTTCACCAACAAAAACACCCCAAATTCAACAAAATCTTCACCCAAAAAATTAAAAAATAAAATAAAATTGCCCAACCACCGAATCGTTACCCAATGCCTGTGTCACCACCATCACCACCTGTAACAACACCACCGCAACCCAACGCTAAATCGCCACCACCACTACAATGTTTGCAACACAATCAACCACCAACAAAAATACCCTAAACTCTGGTAAAGGTACAGACCGAAGGAAAAAATCACAGTCCGCTTCGTGCGGCGTTGGCACGAGACACTGTCGCCTTGCATTCCGATAGCGTCATTTTCGGGAAATAGAGAGATGAGAATGTAGAGAGAAAGAGACTTATGCCAAAGAGGTTAGAATAGAGAGAGGGAATTGAAGGTGAAATAATGTAGGTTTGAATTGTGTAGGTAAATTAATTAATTAATTTTTAAATATATTAATTAATAAAAAGAAATCTGATTTTTGAAAGAATAAACTTGTATATGATTTGTGAAATGGAATCCTTAAATGTATTAGATTGTGTTATTTTTTACTTCTAAAAAGAATTTCCAATTTGTGTAATATATTTTTTTTTTTTTTACATGTTAGCTCGACTTTTATATATATATATATATATATATTTGTTTGATCTTGAATCTATCCTTAGCCTAGCCCCCATTGTGAAGTGGTCCATGCTCTCGTCGTCCAAGCCTTAGTTATCGAATGAATTCCGTCTCTTGTTATGCCTACGTGCAAAACAAAAAAATCATGCGACTGTTAATCATGTCCAAATGGTAAATTGGTATTGCTGTTTGCACACCAGGATTGACATCTAGATCTATCGCCTCCTCACAAGAGGGGGCCCACGCATAATAAAAAAAATGCGTGCTCCCCTCACTGTACACCGAGGGTGTACACATAACAAAACTCTAAATTGAAAGCACACGTGAACTCCACGTCACCACCCACCCCATCCCACCAAACAAAATCGCCAACAAACCCCACCTTCACCCCCACCAACCAAACTAAACCACCAATATGCTGCCACCGCCCATTACCACCACCTATAATCTTCATCTTCTCGTATAGAGAGACAGATGACCTAAACTTTGGTGCCATAAGTGGGTAGACGGAGTGGACATAGAGGCTCAATTGGAGGTGGAATAAAGATATAGAGACCATGGCGGACGTCACCCGCTCCAATCGACTTCTTCTTGATGTTCTGAAAAATACAAAGGAATAAGGAAAAAGAGCAAGGCATTGAAATGATTAAGTAAATTGTGAAAGAGATAAAAGATTTTAATGAAAAATGGGAACATAGAGAATATGATGAACAGTGATATGCGATGTCAGAGTAATTGAACCAACACGAGTGACAACTACTACGTCATGGGACAGTGACTGAGTGAGGATGAGCAATAGGATGAATTGTGGTGAATGCATTGAGGGGGGAACACATGATCGGAGGCATCGGTGTCAATGATCCCAGGGCGACTAATAGAATTTAGGTGAGTGGAGAGAGCAATGGAATTACCAACAAAATTTTCAATAGATGGAACTGTTGACAGAAGTTGTTGTTCCTGCTCAGGATTGAGACCGAGGACCAAAACATCAATGGAAGGTGGAATAGCATAGCGTGAGCGGATTGGCAAGCATGAGTTTGATGAGATTGACGCCAACTGGCGGGATAACCAATAATATGGAAGCAGGATGTCTTCCAATAGCCATCCACAATGAGTGCACTTGGGACGATCATGCCCATGACTGGAAAAGTGACGTTGCTGTGAGGAAGAGGGATGTGTAGCGAGAGCCACACTTCCTGAGAGGGCCCAGAGATGTGAAGAAGACATTGTGTTTCTTCTTGGTGAAAGATGGAGTAAACCTTCATTAGAGAGGGGAGTGGGTCCATTGCTAGGACTTGAGTCAGTAGAGCAGTAGAAGAGTCACGTAAACCAGAGATGTTGTGAGGCTTGAAGGTCCTCGACCGCAAGAACATGATGGAGGAGGAGATAATGTTTGAGTTCAAACCAAAGAGACTTGATAAGGTGATAGTAATTAGTAATAGTGGAGCCACCTTGTTGGAGAGTGGAGAGATCGCGTCGGAGACGGAAGAGATAACAATTGTTACTCTGAGAAAAACGACCTTCAAGGTCTGTCCAAATTCCACAGAGGACCAAGCTGCCTTGTAGAGATTTGTGAATGCTATTGAGAATCCAGAAGAACACCATGTCATTACACCTATCCCAGAGTTGTGATTCGGTAGGGGAACTATTTGGCTTGGTGAGTAAACCATCCACAAAGCCAAGTTTATTTTTGCCATTGAGGGCTTTCTTCATGGAAGGATGCCTAGTGTGATAATTTTCAACGGTAAGTAAGGTGGAGACAAGTAGAGAGCCCGAATGATCTTCGGTGTGTAGGAAATATGGAGAAGATACATCACCAAAGAGTTGTGCCATGGTAGGGAGGGTCAGAGAAACCCCAAGAGAAGGATCGACGGGAAGGTTGTTGTGAATGTTAAAAATGGTAGGTCAAATTAGGAAATGGCACAGGCAAATAATCGAAATTGCTCTGATACATGTAGGTCGATAGAGAACCAAATTTTCTGTGTATATTCCGTAATTTGCAGCCACTGGATTAATACAAAGGTTATGATTGGAAACTAATAATCATAATGACCGGATTATATGGAAAGCAAATGTACAGTCTGATTATGTGCAAGTTTTATATACAAATAAGATATTAAATGAAGGTAAATATACAGCTTATTCTTTGACAGTAAGCACACGAATCTTTGACACAATTTTCCCTTGATTTCCATTATATTCTTTTTTATTTTTATTTGATAATCCAGTTATCCAAATTTCGCCAAACTAATCCTGAGAAATTGCGGCCAAGAGCGGACCCACATGGGGTCAAATGACCCCACATAATTTTGCCCTTTTTTTTTTACACTCTACTTTGATGCATTCGTCGGGATGTCAAATGAAGTCAAAATATTGCATTCTTAATACCATTTCAAAGTGCTCATGGCCTAATTTTTCACTCATTAATGGCATGCGAAATGGTCAACTATAGCAAAAGTTATGACATGTTAAAGTAGGGCGTTTGAAACTAGTATTTTGAGAATTTCAATAATATCCTAACTTTAAAAATTCGTTTGCGATCATGTGCTATCTGAATTCACAAATCGTTTATGCCATGTAAAAGTTTGTTTTGAAAACTATATCGTTTTCATATCGAATGGTCCAAACAGATATCGAAAATAATTAAATATGTATCAAACGTACGCCTTAAAAAAGACGTCAAACTCGTTTTTTCTTTTAAAAAATTCAATTAATTATTATTTTTGTACGATAAATTTTTCAATATAATTTATATTGTTTCATTCAGAAGTCTTACATGAAATATGACGTAAATTTTTTAGGGTCATTATGGATTAAACGTAATTTGAATTACTTTCAAATTATATTTGCTTTAAATTTGAATTTCATTTATTTTCTGAACTAAACTTGAATTTTATTTCAATTCATTTAATTTCTATATTCAATTTAATTTACTCAATATTAGCTCAGCATTTACCAATGAAATGATAAACAAAACTATACAAGTAGCAAAATTTATATAATAATATTAATAATAATGTAATTATACGATGTTTTCAAAGTTTCAAAATACATATAAACTTATTTTCATTGATATTATGTTGTTTATTAAAAAAATTATTTTTAAAATTCTGACCCTACAATATTGAAGGTCTGGGTCCGCCCCTGATTGCGGCCTTCTCCGCTGGTTCGCCACCCAGGTAAATCTGGACGTGATCAGAGCTTATACACACTTGTATCGGATATTCGAGATGCGGTTCTCTTTCCTTTACGACGTGTGTATAGGATTCCCAAAGGGGCGACAAAGAGCACCATAACTTTACCTCCACAAGACAATTATCTTTGAACATAAATGTTGCTTTTCAATTGCCGCAAGGATTCGAACCTCCGATACTCCATATAGAACCCTCCTGCTTTATCACTACGCCATGTCTATGAGGGCGATTTACACTATAGTCTAGTTGTACGTGAAATTGCAGAACCACGTTTTCCTCCTTTTCCCCTCATTTTCTCCTCCCCAAACGCAGATTTCATATTTTTAAATAATGATTTAATACTCACATTTCATTTGTCTGCCTTTGAATTTTTGGATTAAATAGTTACTAAAATTTGATTTTGGACAATGACTTGCAGATCAAAATTGGGTGGGAAAGAAGGTGGAAGCGGGAGTATGTGGGAAGAAATTGAAGGGAGCGGGTAGTAATGGTGGTGTACTGGTGGTTTGGTTTGGTGGGGGTGGGATTTGGATTGGGATGGTTTGGTGATTTTGATTTTAAATGATAAGGTGTGTTTGGCTGACGTGGAGTCCATGTATCCATTTAATTTTTCAATTAACGGCCACATCATTTTTCCGTCTTCCACGTAAACATAATCTGAGATAGAATCCATCCGGTCATTGATGGAGTGCAACGGATGTAAGTTTAGTGGCCACTGGAAGCTTTGTGAAGTTGGATGAATAAGTCGTGATAAAGTACAAAGTTCAATAACTTATGAAACATTTAACTCCAAGAAATCTCCAACCCATTCGGGTTGGAGGTGTACGGGTTAGGGCAGTGCAATCCTTAACATACCCTTCCTTTACACCCCCCACCCAACATATACCAAAAGTTGAACTGCTGATTAAATTCATATAAAAAAGGCACGTTATATTCTCAGCCCGAATATGAAATAAAACAAAAAGAAGCTTTAAAAATGACTGCAACGTTATGTCCTCCTTAGTTAATGAAAAAAGTTCCAGCATCTAACAAAATTGCTTTTTTACTTCCCCTTATTAGAAGACACTCTTTTTGATGTTTTCTTGAGAGATTTCTTGTTTGGCTTCAACTTGCTTCGGGTTGATGGCTTCCCTTCATTGTTTCTTCGTTTCTTTTCCTTCTTCACATTGTACACGTTCACAGCCTACATCCCAAATAAAACCAACTCAAAATCACAACACATGGAGTTTACTTTCAGATACTGGGAAGTGGAGGAGAAAAAGCATGGAAAATCTAGTATGCTAGTAAAAAGAATTTACCTTTACAACATTGAGCATGTCGTGAGAATTTTTGGAGATCAACTTGTTCAGAACCTTTTCTGCTTGTTGCTTTTCTAATGCACCCATTCCAGATCCTTCAACAGCCGGCAAGAACTGAATGCAGATATATAGCAAATGTATTCTGACCATTTTAATAAATACTAATAGAATAATTACAAGGACAACTTAATGGATTGCACAAACCTTCCGGTATTTCTTTTCATGCTTTGGAGACTTCTCTCCAGGCAATTTCTTGTCAAATTTTCCAGCACTGGCTGTTGCAACCGATGCCATTACGGCAACATTTTGTAATTCATTCTTCCCAACTTTCCGAGGCATTGCTTGGGTTCCAGTTATAGGTAAGGCTGTGGCAGCAAGCTGAACATGGCTGCAAATCAGGAACAAAATCAGAGTGTAGAGCAGTATGATTAAACTAGTCGACAAGCACAAAATGCATTTGCTATGAGATATAACCAGTACATTGAATGCAGGCAATGAACTATTAAGACATGAATACTGTTGGAGTTGGGTTCTAGACTACATCATTAATGGAACGAGAAGCAGATGTGCTATCAATTTCCAATGGCAGATTAATTTCCACAATTCCAATTTCAATTCAAGAACTAAATGACAATTGAAAAGAAAAGTATATTTGAGAAGGCCGAGGATTAAACCTAGGCAAGGCACCAACTTTCGCTGCTTGTTTCAAGTTCAGCAACCTATTTTTCTCTTGCTTCTCAACTCTGTTCTTCTTCTCCTTTAGTCTCTCAGCAAACGGATCCATTCCTGGTTCTGGAAATGTAACAGTGGTTATTACAGAATTGTAGAGTAATATTGAACAAGTATTCCACAACAGTTGCCAATATCAACAAAAAAGGTGAAGGAATATCACCATCCGAGGCAAGGGAGCATACATAAATTTTACTGTATGCCAAAGTTGAGCACGCAGAAAATTATCTGTTTTAGGTTTAAAATTTTATGAAATAATTATTTAACCTCCGTTTGGCAAATTTGTAAATCATTTATAAATCAACCAATCTTTATTTTCAACCACACTTTCCAAGGATCCACAAGCACTGTTCACCACTCATTTTTATCTATTTATAAATTTTTTTCCAAACAGAGACTTAAATGAGATAGATAACAAGTTTCCTTTGTATATCTGCTATCAATATAGGACGTTGGCAATAATTTTTTCGAAGAGTAAAAATTAATTATCACTAATCAAGTTAAGTCATTAAATTCGACAAACATTGTTGGAGTGGGAAAAAACAGCGCAAAGATTATAAAGTATTCACCATCTGTCATCTTGGCCTCAATTATTGGTATGTCCTTGTCGTCATTTACATGGTCATAGCCATGACGTCGCTTCCAAGTACTGGTTTGCTCATCAAAGGCAAGTTGGTCTTTCTTGCGTTTTTCAATACCTACATGATAGTCAAACTGATGTGATCTCAAGATCAAAATGACATGCCAAGCCTGGGAAGCATTTCCTTGAATCATAACAAAGGAAAAAAAAGCACTTTTCACGCATAAGATAAATAACCCAAAGAAGCGGTTCGATTTATGATAAACAAACCTTTCTTTTGAGCAAACAATTCCCATTTTGTTGGAGGACTAGGTTTGGGAAGCTGAAAACCATGAGGAGAAGAAAATTTCAAACTCATAATTATATACTAGTAATAATAATAAATCTTAAACCATCTGATCATCAGCCAGCATAACTTAATCATAATCCCTTCATTGAAAAAGGAAAATGTTACTAAAGCCTCTTCTCCATTAGTTCTACATCATGTATTGCTTATTTATGATTTCCTTTGGCACGAATTCAGTAAGGCAATAACTGAGCACTCTATTGGCCAATGTTCTTAAATTTTGGATAACTGGCAAGCGGCTGCAATTCGGAAGGGGATCAAGCATTAAATACAAGTAAAAAATCCAAATTTCAAGATTTAATAAGACATCCTATTCATGTTAGAACTCTCCCATGTAGAAAAAAATTCAATAAAGTACTGTTGCCAGTATCATAGAGTTCTATATAAAAAATATTTTTTCTGCATTTCATTCAATTCAACCTTGCATCTATTGTAAGTTCCAGTGAAGTCCTTTTACAACAATAGCAGGCCACGAGAATTTTGATTTACCTCTCTATCTCTAAACATGTGATTTTCAGATTGCTAACGTAAATGAAAGGCTTTTATGTCCTCACAAAACGTGCACAAAACACCCAGTCATCTTTTCTCAAATTTATCCTCAAATTGGTGCCACCTTCCCTTTTTTTATCATATCCTCACTTCTTATTTTTATATTTTTATATGATCGTGCATCCCCTTAAACATCTTCATTGCCGCTAATTTCAAACATAATTGATCAACTAATTTAACCATTCAATAATGCCTTTTAACTGGTCAAAAACCAAGGAATATAGGCCTGCTTACCAGAATAAATAGAGTTTTCTGAAAAAGGCATCAATGCATATTTACGAATGACATAAAGAAAATTTTTACTCTATTTTTCATTTACTCTTCTTCCACTTTTGGCTTTTCTTTTCGCAATTCTAATATTAACCAGAATGAAAATCATACAGGCTTCTCTCTCGGCAATTTTGTTGTAGGCGCAGGCAACTTGACAGTGGGACCATCTAGATCTTCAGTTGACGGTAAATTAAACAGGACATCAGCAACTGCTTGTACCAATTTGGTTCCCTGTTCAATAGCTTCCTTTACTAGCCCCTCCCTAGTTGCAAAAAAAAAACTGAATATGTAAAATCCACACAAATCACGAATTTAGAATAAAGAATTCAGCTCTCCAATGATCAAAAACTTAAAAAGCCTTTAACCAAACGGTATCTAAGAGCAAAAATCAAAATAATCGGCCTGCAATCAGTATTAAGCTGAAAAAATGAAACTGTATAATGAAACATACAATCTCACTTCATGCAATCACATACACAGTAACAAAAGAATGAAGAATTTAAGAAAGCAAAAAGAAGAAAAACCTGGAAGAGGCAGTAGAAGGAAATTGACGATGCAGATCGAAAGCCATGAGATTCCCCAAATCAATTTCGAATTCCGATTGCGCTATCTCTTTCCCTGTATATGCTTATTCTTGCACGCCGGTGCCTCCGTTTTGCCGGCAGAAACAGCTAGGGTTTAAGAATTTGTGATTGGGGAATTCTCGTAAATATTATAAAACTTGAGGGTCGAAACGATAATAAATTTCCATTTTTCTGGGGCAATTGCGTCACTTTTTATTTGTTAAGAAAAAAGCCATGTAGGATTTGGCTACTCGGACAGGGTCAAATGGATGTTGATATTTGTAGTAGGGCTCTACAAATTACACCCCCTCACAATAGTGGCACGACCCCCCGTGTTGTGAGGGGTTGTAGTTCTAGCACTTCTCGGGTCAAATACAGGGTAGAGAACATGAATTTGAAAATTCTGATATGGCATAATTTTTTTGAGGGAAGCTTTGCATAGTGGATCGTACTGGACCTTACCCTCGTTTTTATGATGAAAAAAATCTCATTTCCCGAATTAATCCCATTCTTTTGCATCTTAGTAAGAATCATCATGTTCTAAACGCTTACAAAAAAATCAACCTGAAATAAATTTGATCTCGTTTTCATTGGTGAAGAAATTATTTTGCCCCAAATTGAAATCAAGAAAACCATTGTTAAATTGAGTGCCGCGTTGTACAATCGGCAACAATCTTTCAGATCGACTAATTTTCCAACCATCTTGGGAATCTCGGCAAATGTACGTGAGCCGCACTATAGTTGCGGGTTTCTGCAATGAAAGTTTCTTGGAAGATTTTTCGGAATGGGATTTTGTTTCTTAATAATTTGTGTTGAAATTTGCTTGTGAGTACCTTCCAAACTTCGCTTGGAGTTGGAGGCAATAAACTATATGATTTCAAGAAAACCATTACATATAGAGGGGTTGGAGGTTACAATCTAAGTGTTTCAATTATTATAGGCAAACAACAAAGTCGTAGTTGCAAGACCAGCTTCGCCTCAAAAAATATAATGATGTATAAAGGACAGGAATGAGATTATCTTATACCTTGCTGGCAACCGCAGTGTGGGGGTTCGATTCTTGAGACATGGAATTGGACTTCTTGTAGGCGCAGTATACATGCAACTCTTGTTCTCTGATCTGTTGAGCACATCCCGGGATTTACATCCTCACAAAGCTCTAGGGGCGGGACGGTGGGGGCCCTCAAGATTGGGGTTCAACTCAGTTGCAATACTGGACAACCATGCTAAAATCCCATCAACAATATCATGTTAAATTCTTAAGCACAAATTCAATTCTACATGAAAAAATTGTATAGCTTTATTGTAAAGAATTTGCACATTGAATTAAAACAATTGCACAACAACATTATTGATGAGTGCTCTACACTCATAATATTTATGCCACCTAATTTGTTATTTTGTTACTCGTGAAAGTGTTTTAGAGCTTTTTATTGTATGTTTTGATATTGTGATGTAGGTTGATGAAATTGAAAGAAATAAGCAAAAGTTGGCGAAATTGGAGAAAATTACCAAATTGTAAGAGATCCAAAGTTCGGAGACTAAAGCGCAAATATTAAAAAGTTGTGTTGAACCTCGCAATGAAGATCCAAGCATGCTAGGAGTCAATTGGATGAAAAAAAGATGTCATAGGGATCAAATTTAGTCAATATATGATCACAAATCAATTTCCAACTGAAAAGTTGTGCTTTGGAATTTCGGCCTCACATTGAGACTCATTTTTGACATAGCAAACAATTGAAGTGGAGAATAATATCTGAAGAAAATGTGTGCCCCTTTGAGTTAGCTTTATAACGAGTTTTGAATCACCTCAATTGGATATCGGACGAGAAAGTTATGCTAAAAATACTAAATGACGCGCAGAAAGAATTTTCCACCCGAACCGAGCGTCGCAGCGCCCATGAATCTGAATTTGACAGTAAGGGCAGCGCCGCAGTGACCATATTGGCCGCCAAGGCGCCGCCTATACAGGGAAACGTATTTTGATGTTTTTGGACTCCTTTCTTGGCCCAATTAAACCCAAAATCGTCCAACACTTGAGGAGACTATAAATACTACATAAAATACCTAATTAAGAACAGGAGAACGAGCAAGGAAAACTGGAAGCAGCCGGCAAGAACACGTGACTGGAAAGAGGAGTTTAGCCAGCCAATTACAAGAATCTTCAAGGGGACAATCTGGAGACAAATCCAAGGGAATTCCAGCTGGCCAATTGCAAAAATCTGGAGACAAACCCACGGCTGGTTAATACAATTAAAGAAGAGGAATTTAATTGAGAGAATTTGGCAACAATGGAAGAAAAAATCGAGCGGTAAAAATGAGTTTTTCTATTCCTTTTCTTGTCTATGTTCTTTCTTATTAATTTATTCATGTCAATTCCTTGAATTATGCACTAAATTTTAATCCTAGGGTATGATGTAGCCTACTTTAGACATGTTTGGATTCCATTTTAATTATTTCAATTAATCTTTCCGTTTATTTATTTATGTTGTTTGTGCACAATGCTTTCAATTAACTTGTCACTAATTGATTGATTTGATGTTCTAAATTTTAAAGCTCGAGAGAGGCAAATTTAGACGTGATCTAAGACAATATAACCTATATTTTGTAGGTTTCGACAGAAAGTGCGAATCTTTGAGGAAAGTTTTAATTAAAAACCACGTGCTTGATAATTTTTATATTTTTAATTTGGAATAGAGATATTGGAATTAAAATATAAAAATAGATTTTATTTGACGCTCGAGAGAGGAAAATATAATCAATTTAGCGTTCTTGCCTATAAATTTTGGAAAGATTGATAGAAATAGTTATACGGTTGAAAACTATTGTCGAATGTACGGTGAAATCATTCCCTAGGCATTCATAATTTGATAAGAAACTTCATAATTTGCTCTCATTTACTTGCATCGTTCATCCTATTTAATTTTAATTTAGCATAAAAACATTGACTCAAAATTTAATCGTCTAAATAAAGGGAAAACTAAAATAATTATAGTACTCAATTGATTCGAATATCAATCCCTGTGGGTTCGACATCCTAACTTCTTTACTATATTACAAAAGTTGACACCGTACACTTGCGGTTTAAAAATCACGTTGCACAAATCGCGTGACAAGTTTTTTGCGCCGTTTCTGGGGATTGATTTATTTGAATTCAATTGATATTATTACCAATTAGCTTTCATTTTACTTTAGATTTTTATTTCTATTGTAATTTTTATTTTTATTTTATTCTTTTTGTGTCTATCTTTAAGAGCTTCCTTGTGGTTATTTTCAGCTGTTTATGCGAAGGGCGAGAAATCTAGACCTACTACCTGTTGATCTTGAACCAGAACGCACATTTCGCATTCTCAGATGCATACAAAGAAACAAACAGGAAGCAATGGCAGAACAGGATGCTAAAGCAGCCAATGAGGATAACCAACAAAGGGCTATTCGGGACTACATAAGGCCGGTTGTCAATGACAACTATTCTGGCATCGCACGCCTAGCAATTGCTGCAAACAATTTCGAACTGAAACCAGAACTTATACACATGGTGCAACATAATCAGTTTGGGGGAGCTCTAACAGAAGGCCCCAATGCTCATTTGGGGTCCTTTTTGGAGATCTGTGATATAGTGAAAATGAATGGCGTTACTGAAGATGCAATCCGACTCCGCCTATTTTCCTTTTCCCTAAGAGACAAAGCCAAGGCATGGTTCCAATCATTACCGTATGGATCTATCACAACTTGGGAGGGGTTAGTGCAGAAGTTTCTCACAAAATTCTTTCCACCTTCGAAAGCAGCGCAATTACAGAGTGAAAGTGGACAGTTTCGACAATTAGACTTTGAACCATTCTATGAGGCATGGGAGAGATATAAAGATCTATTCAGAAGATGTCCTCAGCATGGTTACCCGGAATGGTTGCAGATACAAACCTTCTACAACAATTTGAATGGTCAGACACGGATAGTGGTAGATTTACAACAGGGGATGCATTATTATCCAAAACTCCAAATGAGGCTTATGCATTATTGGATGAGATATCTACTAATAGCTATCAATGGCCGAGTGAGAGTTCAAGTGCAAAGAAAGTTGCTAGCCTTTATGAAGTAAATCCTATTACCGCCCTTGCAGCTCAAATGTCATCTCTCACTAATCAAATAGCTGCATTGACTTAACATGGATCACAAAAGAAATCAAAATCTATTATGGCTACATCCAATGCATACCAAAAAGTTGAAAGGGAGAATGAACAACTTCAGTATGTAAACGATCAGAATTTCAATCAAAAGGGAAACTATTCAGGAAACAACTACTATCAGGGGTTCAATAATCAAGCGTTTGAGCGAAAGCCATCACTGGAAGATATTTTAGGAACCTCTATTTCAGAGACCAGATCAAGGTTCAACAAAGATGAGGCAAGACTTGACAGCATTGAGACACATATGACCAACTTGGGGGCTACAATGAAGAATTTGGAGGTACAGATTGGTCCGATAGCAACTGCAATACAGTCTCAACAAAAAGGACAATTTCCTAGTAACCCAGAGGTTAACCCACGGGAACACTGCAATGCTATCACCCTAAGAAGTGGTAAAGCAGTTGAAGAATGCAAGCTTAGAGAGGTTAGCGTACCTACATCGGATCCCATTCTTGCAAGGGAAAAGCAGACTGAAGGGCAAAAAACTGAAGCAGAGCCAGCAAAGAAGATTTATAAGCCTTACTCAATTTCATTTCCGGACAACCCACCTATCTTGAAGCCCCCACTACCATTCCCGCAGAGGTATTTGAAGAAGGAGTTTGATGAAAAATTCGCAAAGTTTCTGGAGGTCTTCAAGAAAATCCGCATCAACATTCCCTTTGCAGAAACCTTGGCCCAAATGCCTAACTATGCCAATTTCTTAAAGGAAGTGATGTCAAAGAAGAGAAAGTTGGAGGAATTTGAGACTTTTAAGCTGAGAGATGAGTGTAGTGCCATACTTCGAAGAAGCTCCCTCACAAATTGAAAGATCCGGGCAGCTTCACCATCCCGTACAATATTGGTGGTATCACATTTGATAGGGCACTATGTGACTTTGGAGCTAGCATAAACTTGATGCCCTTATCAATGTTCAAAAAGCTGGGTCTTAGAAAAGTGAATCCCACAACCCTTACCTTGCAACTGATGGACAGATCAATTACATATCCCAAAGGCATTATTGAAGATGTGTTGGTGAAGGTTGATAAGTTCATCTTTCTGGTGGACTTTGTGGTATTGGACATGGAGGAGGATGAGAAAGTACCATTGATTCTTGGCCGACCTTTCCTGGCTACTGGAAGAGCATTGATTGATGTGCAAGAAGGAAAGTTGACACTACGAGTTAATGAAGAGCAAGTAACTTTCAACATCCATCAAGAAAAGAAAGCCCCGGAAAAAGGAAAAGTTGACATTTGCAAAATGATCCAATCAACTGAAGTAATTGCAGGAAATGGAAAAAAAAGGGAATTATTTTATGATCCGTTGGTGCAATACATGAAAATTAGTTACTCAACAAGGGATGTATCTACTGATGGTAATGACTCAGAAATGAAGAAAGCAGTGGATTTCATCTTAGCTCAAGAAGCTGACCCACCTGACAAAAAAAAGAGCTATGTAGATAGGCGTTTGAAACCTCCAAACATTGCCAAACCAAAAGAGGTCTTGAAAGCCATACCAGGGTCAAAACAGCCTATGTTTGTTCATCACCTTACAATGAAGGAGAATACAAAGTCGAAGATCAAGTTTAGAAACAAGAGAAATGTGCCAAATGAGGATCCACCGTAGGCGTTGCAGTTGAGTCAAGCTAGTGACTATAAAGAAGCGTTTCTTGGGAGGCAACCCAAGTGTTCTTACCTTTTCACTTATTTTATTTTATTTGTTTTAAATTATAGGAGAGTTTATTTCATTTTTTATTTAGGAATTCATCAGCCCTACCTTGTCTCCCTTAGGTCTTTGAGCAGTCTAGTTGGTTATTAGATGTTCGAGTTAAGTAACACTTGTTCCATGAATTTAATATCTACATCTTGAATTTTCAGAAACTTGACATCGTGGAACAATCAAACAAATTGACGAAGAGTAACTGATAAATATCAAGTTTGGGGGAGAAGCTAGAAGAAGTATCAATCAAGTCAAGCATCATAGCACCAGACCATCATTGGCAATTCAGACAATTGAGAGAAGTTTTCCTCCTTTTCTTTTAATTTAATATTGGGGACAATGTTTAGTTTAAATTTGGGGTGTATCATAAATTTTCTAATTGCCTACATATTTTTTTATTTTGTGTATTTTGTGTGATTTGTGTGCAATTTTTTAAATTTTCTTATTAGGGTGCATCGTTTAAAAAAATCATTTTGAGTTTTTCATGCTTGTGTGAGTTAGATAGCCTTGCCGATATTGATTTGTGTAATTGAGAACATGCATTGATTTATAGATTATGGATAAGTTATGTGCTTGAGTCAGATTTTTGCTTATTTATGTAAAACGAAATTATTTTTGCACGTGAGTTGATTGTGGCGTTGTGCATGAGTAGGTTGATTCATGTTTATAGGTTGGATTAGAGAACTTAGATGCTAAACCCAAACAACCTTTTAACATCATATTACATTTGAACCAAATATAGGATGTTTGGTAGATTAAGCTGTTGTAGGGAAACTTAGAGATAAATGTGGATTTCGTGTGTACTAAATTTTGTGTGGATTGTCTGAGACAATAGGATGAAAATTGGGTGAAAACCTTAAGTTAGAGGTCGATTTTCGAGAATTGGTGTTTAATAAAGGGCATTGCACTAATCATTGCATAAAAAAAGATCCCAATGAGGACAACTTTAATAATCTCATTGTGAATCGTCTCTTCGCAGCTTTTGACTCGAGTGATTAAGCCTGTAAGAGTTTAAAATCTGGTGCCCTAAAATTGTCTGATTTGGGAGTCATCGGCCTAAAACTCGCTACAGAGGTTATTTAGAAAGTTTAAGGGAATGACGTCCACACAAAGGGTGTTTAAAGAATAAATTTATATTTGAAAAAATATATATAAATAAATAAATAAAGAAAAGAAATTTGATATCACATACCTTGACTAAGCCCCGAACACTTGTTTTAGAGGATTAAACCTTTGATGAGAAGTTAGTAACTCGGTTGTTTCTGGGAGGTTGAAGCAGTAAAAAATAAGGAGAATCTTCATCTGTTGATAAGTTGAACTGCAATAGTGAAATCTAACCAAATTTGAGCGGTGTAAGAAATTAGGGTTGAAAAATCAACTTTAGAATACACATTGGGAAGAGATAAAAACAAGTTTGGGGTGTGTAAATCCCACGAGCGAGGCAAGGAAATATTTGACTTTTGAGGTCGGGAATTGGGTCAATTTATTATTGTACAGCGTTATACTTAACTCTCCACACACACACCTGGTTGCATTGAATAGGCGAGAATTTGACTTGTGCATTATAGTTTTGAAGTAATTCATGAATTTGACTCTACATTTTTAATCTTGAGCTATAAAGGCAAGGTGTCTAACATAATGTGTCTTTTAAGTGATTGTGTTTGTTTTAGTTGTGACTGTGTATTTGTTAATGATTTTCTTTAGTTTGGTGTTTGCTCGAGGACAAGCAAAATATAAAGTTTGGGGGTATTTGATGAGTGCTCTACACTCACAATATTTATGCCATCTAATTTGTTATTTTGTTACTCTTGAGAGTGTTTTAGAGTTTTTTATTGTATGTTTTCATGTTGTGGTGTAGGTTGATGAAATTGAAAGAAATAAGCAAAAGTTGGAGAAATTGGAGAAAATTACCAAATTGTAAGAGATCCAAAGTTCGGGGATTAAAGCGCAAATATTGAAAAGTTGTGTTGAGCCTCGCAATGAAGATCCGAGCATTCTAGGAGTCAATTGGATGAAAAAAAGATGTCAAAGGGATCAAATTTAGTCAAAATATGATCACAAATCAATTTTCAACTGAAAAGTTGTGCTCCGGAATTTCAGCTTCACATTGAGACTCATTTTTGACATAGCAAATGATCGAAGCAGAGAATAATATCTAAAGAAAAATGTGTGCCCCTTTGAGTTAGCTTTCTAACGAGCGTTGAATCACCTCAATTGGACATCAGACGAGAAAGTTATGCTAAAAATACTAAATGACGCGCCAGAAGGAATTTTCCACCTGAACCGGGCGCCGCAACGCCCATGAATCTGAATTTGACAGTAAGGGCAGCACCGCAGTGGCCATATTGGGCGCCGAGGCGCCGCCTATGCGGAGAAACGTATTTTGATGTTTTTGGACTCCTTTCTTGGCGCAATTAAACCCAAAATCGTCCAATACTTGAGGAGATTATAAATACTACATAAAATACCTAATTAAGAACAGGAGAACAAGCAAGGAAAACTGGAAGCAGCCGGCAAGAACACGTGACTGGAAATAGGAGTTTAGCCGGCCAATTACAAGAATCTTTAAGGGGACAATCTGGAGACAAATCAAAGGGAATTCCAGCTGGCCAATTGCAAAAATCTGGAGACAAACCCGCGGCTGGTCAATAAAATTAAAGAAGAGGAATCTAATTGAGAGAATTTGGCAACAATGGAAGAAGAAATCGAGCTGCAAAAATGAGTTTTTCTATTCCTTTTCTTCTGTATGTTCTTTCTTATTAATTTATTCATGTCAATTCCTTGAATTATGCACTAAATTTTAATCCTAAGGTATGATGTAGCCTACTTTAGACATGTTTGGATTCCATTTTAATTATTTCAATTGATCTTTCCGTTTATTTATTTATGTTGTTTGTGCGCAATGCTTTCAATTAACTTGCCACTAATTGATTGATTTGACGTTCTAAATTTTTATGCTCGAGAGAGGCAAATTTAGGTGTGATCTAAGACAACATAACCTAGATTTCGTAGGTTTTGAGAGAAAGTGCGAATCTTTGAGGCAAGTTTTAATTAAAAACCACGTGCTTGATAATTTTTATATTTTTAATTCGAAATAGAGATATTGAAATTAAAATATAAATATAGATTTTATTTGGCGTTCGAGAGAGGGAAATAGAATCAATTTAGCATTCTTACCTATAAATTTTGGAAAGATTGATAGAAATAGTTATACGGTTGAAAAATATTGTCGAATGTACGGTGAAATTATTCCCTAGGCATTCATAATTTGATAAGAAACTTCATAATTTTCCCTCGTTTACTTGCATCGTTCATCCTATTTAATTTTAATTTAGCATAAAAACATTGACTCAAAATTTGATTGTCTAAATAAAGGGAAAACTAAAATAATTATAGCACTCAATTGATTCGAATATCAATCCCTGTGGGTTCGACATCCTAACTTCTTTACTATATTACAAAACTTGACACTGTACACTTACGGTTTAAAAATCACGTTGCATAAATCGCGTGGCAATTATGCCGCAGGAAAGACCTTTCCCATTCAAATTTCTAAACACTTGTATAAAGGCATACCTAAAAGATTCATGCAATACACAAATGAGAATTAATGCGAATCCCCAACCTGATAAGCTAATTAGGAGTAATTTTCAAAAATCAATTATACAAAATCACAACTAAAATGTAGGCACATTAATGTATCGAAGACACCATATCAACGCACAAAGCCTCAATGGAAGCCAAAATTGATGAAATGTAGAAAAAGGCTACCAGCAGCAAAGAAATGAAACTCAATCGACTTAAATGTGTTTGTGCTTATTTCGCTGGAAGCATGGTCATGACGAGACGCTGATGAGTCACTAGGGTAAGTTATTGGGTAATGCTTACGAGGTACGACTGTTTGACGACAACCGGTGATGGAAAGAACAGGGATTTGGGGCTTTCATTTTTTGGGGTTTCAAACGTAGGGAGAGACTTTATTTTATCCCATTTTCTCCCACTTCAACTCATATGGCGACCCGAGATGGTTAGTCTGCTACGACACCATGTTTGATGAAGGTGCGATGCCATGACGGAGATGGTGGGTTTGGATTTTGGGCCTTTTTTCAGTTCGATTTTGGGAAAGAGAAGCTGTGGTGTTGTGATTTTCATCAGCCCTTTTTTGTTTTCTTTATATTTCTTTTGACACATCAAATTTTTTAAATCCCTATTTTCTAGCCTATATTTACCCCTGTCCAAGTAGCCTTATTGATGTAACAAATGGGACCCTATATGTATGAGAGAGGCTTCATGTACAGAATCAAGCCTACAGGCCTCTGCCAGAATACACACAAACACGGGTGGGGTGGGATTTTTTGGGGTACTTTTTTAATGAGATGGGACCCACCTAACGTCTCACATCTGTAGAACCCCTATGAGTACAGTTCATCCTTTTTCCTATATGTATAGACTTGTTCCTTTTTTAATGGCAACAGGGTTTATTAACTCATGTTTGAATCTCATTAAATTATATTTCATTTTTCTCTCTCGTATTTTCAACTCCACAATTTTCTATAAAATAATATTACACGTTAACTAAACTTTTTTTATTTTTCAATCACTCATTTTTCAAAAAACACTATCCCGCCTATTTTTCATTTCCAGAATGTGGGGGCCAAACGGGAGCTTAATATTTACTCATTCTAACTTCGGTTTGATTCCTTAAATGGTTACTGAACTTTTTTTAAAGTTCCCATGGGTCAGTGAACTTAAAACTGTCCCCATTGGCCACTTTGAAAATTAGTATCCCATTCATTACCATGTAAACTACGCTTGCAAAATTGAAAGAATTTGATGATATATCAAATGGTATGGCTTATGTGGCATGCACTGGAAAACTATAAATCAGACTTTTACATAAACAATGCTATAATTACTTAGAAACTATAATAATCCAACTATAAAGTTTATAAAATTCAAATTTTGAAAAGCTCTACATTTGAATAAAATCACACATTTAACGGTCATTAAAAAATTCAAATATGCATTGAATGATTTGTGAGTAAAAAAGGGTCACATACCTATAGAAACATGCTCAACATCATCAAATTCTTCCAATTTTGCAAGCATCGTTTACATAATGGAGGATGAATACCAAGTTTCAAAGTTAATGAGAATGCATTGTCACATAAGATGATAATGAATATCAGTGAGCAAGCAGCCAACCAATAAAGTTATAATTTACAAACCTATCATGTTAAACTTGTCTCAGGTCGATAGGGACGGAGCTTAATGAAGTCCAGTGCCATCACAAGCCTAAGTTGAAATTTTGGGCCAAACACAAAGGTGCTTACACTGAACTTTTGGGCCGTCCAACACAAAGACCCAATTTTTTAATTTTTTTTTTTAACTATTCGAATGCTCAACCAAGAACGCCTCCTTTCAGAGTAGGACTTCTCATTTTCTCAACCTCCGCTATTTAACATTTGTTGTTACTTGTGTCGCCTGTCCCCTCCCTGTTTGTTCGAGCCCTAGACAGCACTACAACAAAAGCAAAAGCAGACGCAACCCACAGTTTCCAGTGATTCTTCGACAACAGAAGAAGAATCGAAGAAGAAGGTGAAATTAAAGCCTTTAGACCTGAATCGATTTCTTGAACCTAACACTCATTTTTCTTTTCTTATTTTTTATTATTTAGATTTGTGTAAATTGTAATAATGTTTGATTTGATTTTTTTTCTTTTTAACATATGAAATTAGCACGTTACTCTTTCAAATACTACGGCATGCCTTCACATTGCTGTGCTAACGACTCTTCAATTGATTTTGCTACCAGACTTTCAGTTTCCATCTAGGCCCCGTTTGTTTTCCATTTTTATAAGAATGAGAATGAAAAATATAACCGTTATGGGCCCCACAAAAGTGATAAAAATTCAAATTTGATGGCTTAATGTGATAGATAACGATCATATTTTTCATTTTAATGAGAAAAGAATGAGAAACAAATGGGGCCTAGTATTGTTGCTGCCTTAGTAATTGTCACTGTGATTTGGTAAGTGTGAATTGCACAAGTTCCGGAAATAGTATTGTCCTAATGCCTTGTGAAATTGTAAATTGCACTATGAATTGTGAAATGTGAATTTTGGAAATAGTACTGCCCCGTGAATGTCAATTTCTTATAGTATTGCTATGTGAATTACCCCCATGAATTGCTTTACTTTTGCTTCTAGTATATTTGTGATTCTATTTTTGTCATTCTGAATTACTTCCAGTGGTAATTGGATATCAAATGTTTAAATCCAAATATCAAATGAGGATACTCTTTCAAAGAATTAATGGGAGATATCGAATAATATGAAATTTGATATCACAATACTATCAATTGATTCCGAACTAAGGATATCTATCTTGGATTACATACTAACATTCGAGATCAAGTTCGAAGATCATATATATTCCAAAACGACAATTTGGAGTAAAATCTAGACGATTCAATCCTTCTTGGTTTAAAAAGTTTGGTACTTAGTTGGAGTACAGTGTAGAAAAAGATGCAACTTATTGTTTGTATAGTTATCTTTTCAAAACAAGTTATAGAGAGCAAGGTGAAGGTGAGTCTTTTGATGATGAAGGTTTTACATATTGGAAAGCAGGGCCAGACCTGAGAATTTTAAGGCCTAAGCGATTTATTATTATGAGACCCTTAAATGCAAAAAAAATAAAAATAAATAAATAAATAAAAATAATAATAATAAATTACATGCGTAAAAATACTTAAATAGTTAAATAAGTCATATATTTGCATTTTAAACAAAGTCTTGGTACGATTTAAAAGATAAAAGGAGCAAATTCAAGTTATTTTCGATAAATCATATAATGGACATTATAGACTCATGAAAAATTTATTCTGGATAAATAAAATTCAAGTTATAACTTATTAAAGTAAACTACTGAATGAATAATATTTCTTTTCAAATTAAATCATATTACCATAATAATATTGGACTCATTTGATAGCTTGTAATTAATCATGTCTATTAAACTCAAGCAAAATTTATTTTAGATAAGATCGAACTAAGTTAGAATCGACCAAATAAATTATTGTTAGATAAATTTATAATTAATCCATCTTTTAAATTTATACTAATTTAATTGGATTTTTACCATGGTTTTCATTTGAAGGCCCCCATTAGATGTGAGGCCCTAAGTCATTGCCTAGTTGGTTTTGGATTAGGGCTGACCTTGTTGGAAAGATAAAAAATGCTTTATACTCATGTTGTAGTTCATGATAGTGCACATAATCAAGCTTGTATTAAGTGTGAGGTTTTGATGAATCAAGAGCAGCAAATTCAATTAGCTCTCTACAAGTAGTCAGAACAACTAAGAAGTGCATATGTTATTCATCTTAATGCATCTATTGATCATGTTCGAATTCTATTGTGACAAGGGCACTCATTTGGGGATAATGATGAATCTAAGATTCTCTCAATCCAGGTGATTTCTTACTCCAATTGGAATTTTTTGTTGTTCATAATGAAGATATTAATGCCTTCACATCGGGAAATGCTACTTAAAACTGCAAATTGTCATCACCCAATGTTCAAAAGGATATAATAAGTGCTTGTACCGTTGAGACGATCAATGTTATTATGAAGGATGTTGGCGATTCACTATTTTCTATTCTAGTTGATGAATTTTGTGATGTATCAACGAGGGATCAAATGTCAATTGTATTACGTTATTTAGATAATAGTGGACATGTAAATGAACGCTTCATATGGATTAAATTGTTACAAGTACCATGGCTCCATCACTTAAGATTGTAATTGATAAGGTCTTTTCTAGATATAACTTGAGCATGTCTAGATCGAGAGGACAATATTATAATGGGACAATTAATATGCAAGGTAGGTTTAATGGTCTCAACGCACTCATTTTAAAGGAGAATTCATTTGCCTTTTACATTCACTGTTTTGCTCATGAACTCCAACTAGCTTTTGTAGTTATGGCAAAGAAGAACATTCCTATTACTAATACTAAATTCTTTTGTGTGCTTGGTGATGTGGTAAATATTGTTGGAGCATCTTCTAAACGTTGTGATCATCTTCAAGAAAAACAATCAGACTTTATTGTTAGGGCATTAGAAAAAGATGAGATTTTAAGTGGACGGGAACTTAATCAAGAAACAACCTTTCAATGTTTAGGTGATACACGATGGGGTTCGCATTATAATTCTTTGGTCAGCTTACTTGCCATGTTCTCTTCTGTTAATGATGCACTTGCAATGATTATTAAGATGAATCTTGTTCTTATGATCAAATATCTAGTGCAACAAATTTATTGGAGTTAATATAAACATTTGAGTTTGCATTTAATTTACAGCTGATGGGAAGTGTCTTGGGGATGTCAAATGAACTGTCAAAGGCATTGCAAATGAAAGATCAAGATATTGTGAATGCAATTAGTAAAATTGTGCAAACGACAACTCCAGATAATGATTGACGAAAGATGGGACTACTTTTGGAAGAAGTATGTCAGTATTATATTGATGTACCCGACATGTATGATATGTTTGTACGCCGTGCACTTCATGGTCGTCTATAGCGTAATCCTCCAGAAATTACAAATTTACATCGTTACTGGGTAAATTTGTTTAACTCTGTCATCGATTTACAACTTCAACTAATTGAATGATCGTTCCTCGGAGAAAATACAGAGTTACTCCTTTGTATAACTTGTTTATGTTTACAAGTTTCATTTTCTTTTGACAAGAAAAGTTTGATTCGACTTGCTCCATTAGATTTCTCTATAGTAGATCTCATTGTACTTAATGATTAACTTGAGACTTATATTTTTGACATGCACTTTAACAAAGACTTTGAAGGGTTGAATGACCTTTGTGATCTTGCAAAAAAGTTAGTTTGACAAAGAAAAATAAGGTATATCCGTTGGTTTACAAAGTTTTGACTTTAGCATTGCTCTTACCGGTTGCTACCACTACAGTTGAGAGAATCATTTATGCAATGAGCATTGTAAAGGATAGACAGTGTAATCAGATGAGTGATCAATGGATGAATGATAGCACAATTGTTTATATAAAGAAAGATATATTTTTGAAGCCGAATAATGAAGCTATTATACAACGATATCAAAGTACAAAAATTTGCAAGGAAAAAATGTAATATATAAACTATATCATTTTTAGAATTGTCTTAATATTGTTTTATATTTTTATTATCATTAAATTCATGACAAAAAACTTGACGTTCGATGATAAGTGTTTTTACATACTTATTTAATATCTAAATAAGCTTAAATATTGATTAAATGAGCGAATTTCTACTTACAATTATGTAATTATTACTTTTGTAGGCAAAAATCACCAAGGAAATAGAACAAGGTAAAAAGGAGGAGAAAATGATCAATATTGTGCAAAATTGGGAATTGGGGACCAAAGGAATCATAAATGACTTGATTGAAAAGGAATTCAAAATTTAATGATCAAATTAGATGCAATCAAAGTTAGAAGACTATACGTGTAATTCTTTGGGACAAACTAAAGAAAGGGAAAAAGAAGACTAAGGTGCGTGCCTAAATCTGCAACTAATGTGCATGCTTTAACCCAATTTTGGGTAACAAAAGGCAACTAAAGGGCTAAGACATGTGCCTGATTTTCTACTAGGTGCGCCTTAGTATGAAAAGAAGGACCTGTGCGTATATTTTTATTTCTTCGAAGCTTCTTTTTGCAACTTGGCTATGACGGTTTTTACACTTTTTAAACACCATTTTCTACCATTCTTCTTCCTCTTCATTTTTTCGTTTCTTTCTTCTTTGTTTTTCTCTTTCATTTTCCTTAGTATTTTTGGGGATACAATCAAGAGCACAAGAAAAATACATCTAAGAATTTGGATAAATATTTGGGAAAGTCATAGCCAAGCTTCAAAAAGGGGTTTTATCAATAACTTTGTATATTCTCAATTATTTTGCCATATTTGTAATGCATTATTATAAATATTCTCCTCTTTATCATTTATATAATATATACTAAGTATTTTTGTTGGGATTTATGGTATTAGTTAATCTTAACTTTAATTAATTTTAATATTTGTCCTTTAATGTTAAGTTACTTATTTTCACGTGTTTTTATTATTGTTTATGTGACAAGTGAATGCTTATGTTAGTAATTTGTACATCATTCGAGAGAAGATTGTGCATTTTAAACCAAATAGTAGAAACCTTAGGTTTGTACATTTTATATTTTTTGTATAACCATGGGTGTTCGGACCAACTTACCCGCACCTCGACTAATCTTACAGGGCCCTGAAGTTTACAGTCGGGTACTCACCTCAGTGGTCCTGCGAAGAACATAGAGATATAGTATATTAAACCAATCAATTAAGATTAATTTCGTTCGAGAGAGGTAATTAACCAAAATTGAAAAATCGGGTCTAACGTCGTAAACGAATAATTTATTAATTGACTTTTAGTGAAATTAATTAGATGACGGTTAAGCAAAATCATAAATCCCAACCACGATTTTCCACCAAAATTCCCAAGTATTTATATTCTCTTATTTTGTATCTTTTTAGTTAATTTTTCTTATTTTCAAAATTAAATCTTTATTGTGTGTTTGCTTCTTTTTATTGTTAGAATTAAATTAATTAAAGTCGTGTAATATAAAGTAAACATTTTTCGAGGAATCGACAATCCAGACTCAAAAAGTTTACTTTATTACTTAAACACGAACTGTGCACTTGCAGTTTGCACATTCTTAGCAAACATTCGACGTCAATAAAAATGTTCCCACACTTGACGAATCTCCTAGCTCCACCCCTAACAGGTTGACAGCTTTACTCTTGTTACATAGTAGCATTGAGATACTTGATACTCCAAATGCATTGCAAATTATAAAACCTTAAAGCTTTCTTTTTTTTTTTTTTTTTTTTTTTTTTTTTTTGTTCAATTACACGACCATGACCATGTCTAACATGGACAAAGATGTACAACTGTCGAGTTCTCTCCCCTCTTTACACATCCAAACACTGTAAAGCCTACCCAGTAAAAGGCATCGTTTGCAAACAAATATTTGACCACCCACCTCCAAAATAATTAAGCAAAAACTCACTTCATTTGAGTTTTAAATTCCAAAGTTTGTTTTAGGATATCACGATCATCCACTCTTTTTTCACGGGAAGCCAATTTGACTCGTGCATGTTTTTCATTCCAACTCAACATTCCACAAAGACAAAGATACTCAGAATAAAAGGAAAGAATAAGAAAACAGAGAGAAATATTACATTCCAATTTAAGAAAATGTTTTCTGTTCCCTTTGAGTTTCTTCAGTCTACAAAATGACAGAGACAGATCTACCAAGTTTTTGAAGTCTGCGTGCGTACAAATCTCACAATCCTCATTCTTTCGAAGTAATCACTAGCAACCCCAAAGCTCCTATGAGAATATACTGCAACAGATACAAACCAAGTCAAACACTAAAACTGCTGTTGCTTTTTTTTGATGATTTAAAAAGCCCATGTTTGACAACCATTAAAATAAAACTCTTTTTTTTCTCAAATTTGTTTTCAACCTCACGTTCATACAATAAAATAATTTGCACGTAAACTTGAAACTTTTTCCTACTTTCTAACTACACGTTCTCCAAAAACCACTATTCCAAGTCTCATTTTCCTCAAAAAACTTTTTTTAATGGTTGTCAAACAGGGGCAAAACATGAAATTCCTGTACCCTCCTCCGCTAACCATGAAATCACAGAACAGGACTGGGAGCCGGGGTGGGAAGTAATCAACATTTCATGCAAACAACTATATACTCAAAAAAGTATGGATTCCATATTTTGCTATCAACGACAAACCTTTATGATAGGCTTTTCCGTCATTATAATAGTCACCCAACCTACATACGGCAAAAATCTGCAAGATAGAAACATGAGAGCCGGTGGTGCATCAAAATTCAGAATAATGAGAAGAAAAAAATTAGAATCAAATCCATCAACAATGTGCTTGCATATAAATTGACCAAAATTATAAGAATCAGGAAATCTTTCAAAAATAGATAACCTTTGGCAAAAATACAAATAGAGAAAATCAATACTCACGGAGTCTAGATGTACAACTCACTTGGATGATTCATAGGTTTGAAAACTAGATCCACATCTGATAACTATCCTTCTATCTGAGTTCGAGGATCTCAGTCCAAAACTAATTTAAATTGTACAAGGAATCACAATAATCCAAGATCTAAATACATTTGGATGCTAATAACCTATTAGAACTCAACTCCAATTTGCTCACGGAATCTATAAGCATTAGAATAAATCATGCTTCTCAACCACCTCATATATCTCTCAAGTAAAGCTCATTCAAGCTCAGTTCCTAAAATAAATGGGTAAGTTCATATATTTAGGCTAATTTTTAATTTCTGAACTTTAATGACCTACTCCACAGCTTGAGCAGCACATCACAGTTGCACAACATCACACCTATTTACAGGTGTAAACTGAACTAAAGGCCAACCAGAGCCGACACCCTTTCCAAACAGATGTAGCCCAATTTCAGTGTGCGATGAACTGGCACGTTGCTGTGCCAGCCAGCATTATTAGGCTCATGGCCGACACAAACAACTGACAAGGAAGCAGAAAGCACCTAGGAATGAATTTAGTTAGAAGAAAATGCATCCTTACTCCACTTGACTACCATTTGGTTTAAATATGGGCTTCACGTTCTTTATTATCTAATGATGGCACAGTTCAATCGGTAATTTGAGACTGGGCTTTTACTTGTTGGAACTTTGATATTCCAGACATGTAAATGATCTTGCACATTTTGATAGAACTCTGTTACTGCCCTTCTATTTTCTTCTTCCCCAGTTTGGAGAACCTAGCTGCTGGAGAGTCCTGGTGTATTTTCATGAAGGCAGTATCTCAACTCCAGGTGCTTTCTCCGTTTCCTTTCAAGTCATTCACAAGCCTAATATCCTTCCCAGTTTCAGTGGCTCGAGTAAATTAGCAACTCTGATCAGTTACTAGAGTAGAGAAGGCACAAGTCTATTTTCCCAAATTTTTATGTTATGCGTCAGAAGCATGGAGTAACAGGTAAATTGTGCTCAAATTGCTTTCTAGTGAACTAGATGGGTTTTATTTGCGGTCTCGAGGAAACCTTTTGTCATACCATCAATCATTCTTTTTGAAGTATTAATATTTTGGGAATTTTACATAGAAAGTATGGTAAGTTCTTGAAAAGATCTACTATTAACATTACTTGGTCAATTTAGTTCGAGCACATAGCTAGAATCTTCTAAAGCAAGTTCATCAACAGTTTCCTTGTGGAACAGTGGTTTCCCTACCATCCCCATGGGCATTATTTATGGTGTCAGTATTAAGAACTAGTGGTGGAGGATGTACTTAGCTGGGTCATGCATAACAAATACATGTGTACTATAGAGAAGGTCTACCAAATAGACCAAGTTCATCTGGATGTGAGTTTTTCCAGACTGTCAGGAGACTTAAAATTTTGTTATTCATCATGAACCACATAAAATGTTAGTGAACTATAATGAAAAAATAAATATCCTTCTAACTTCTAAGCAGATTATAATATAGAAAAAAAGCTGCCCGTTGAATATATTAATGTCCAAGGACATTTCCAACTGTCAACTCACCCAACAGCTCTCCCCATGATATGATGCCGTTGCAGCCAGAGCTGACCTTGAGCATACAGAAGTCTGTCATCTCCAAGATTATTATCTCCTGCGAAATCAAACAAAGAATCACATAAATAACTAGTTCTCACTGTCTGAAGATTGTATAGGAGAAAATCAATTGCTCTTTCAAAGTGAATCGATAACAATTAAAATATATTAAACTTGAAATTGATTCAAATATAAATTAAAAAGGCAATGATATCACTATATAAATTTAAAAATTCAAATATATGGTACCTTTTGTCAGGATATCAACTTCTCCTGTGTCTTGGCGCTCATGAACCTAAAGAAAAGAACAACACAGCCTTCAATTTAAAAAGAACACGGAAATTAGATGACGGGAATATGAAATTACTTCTCTTATAACTAAAGAATAGCAAGTAAAATGTGTAAGTGGACTAACTTTTAACCACCACAGCCAGTTTGGGTATCGTGCAAGATGACATACGTCATGACCCCTCTGGGAAGTGACTCCCATTTGAATTGGAACAAAAGTTTAGGAGAGAGTTTAAAAGGAGGGTATTCAAATATAACTATAGTTTCAGCAAAAAATTGTTCTCTCATTTAAAGACTAGATCAGACTTTGGTTCCTTTTCTGATTTAGTTTTTACATCCTCATATTGTCTTCCCTCTTGAGTTCAACTAATTTTGTCGGAAAGAAAAATAACCTACACCATGCTGGGATTTCATCTGCCTTCATTCTAGCTCTCCCGACAGAGCAAGATGTAGACTTTGGTTATATTAACTAGCCAACATGAGCAAATGGACGTGAAGTCAACATATTTCAATTTAACAACGGAAACCATATTGGAATTTTTAGTACTCTGAGTCTTCTATGTCAAACTAGTTTACCAAAAATTTACACTGACAAAATTGTGAGTAGAACTGGTAAAAACAATGCAAAGTCATGTAGCGCAAGCGTCAGGAACGGAGAATAACACCTTAATCTAAATCCATTTATTCAATTGAATACAGGATAGAGATTGCATAAAAATCCAATTTTTTGTATTAGTTTGTCTAAAACAACCAAGAATGGATATTATCTTGCAAGCATTTAAATAGAAACAGGTTGTGAAAAACCCTAAACTAAACAAAAAGACTTAACTATCTCCAACTAAATATTAATTAAAGAGTAACAAAAAAATAGTAAAATATGGCTTGGCAATTTTTAACGTCTACTTTTGGGATCCATGGAGTCGGATCCAGCGAGTAAAACAATATATTTATAACCCTTCAAGTTGCGTCATTCTCCCCAGGTTGGAGAAGATTCATCCTCAAATCTTAGACTCGTCAAAATCACCTTGTGCTCCAAGTCTGGTTGATGTCATGACATCTATAACACCCTTTCTAACTTGAATATTTCCCACATCATCAACTTGACCACAAACAAAGTTAGAACAAATATTGTCAACCATAGAGTCAACAATAATTTCCCTATTCGTCCCGACATTGGGTTGCTCTTTTACTTCCTTTCATTCATGAAGTGCATCAACATTACTGTCATTACACAAGCAGTTAGCGTGCAAGGCTATTTCAATTGGCTGCCCTTAATTGCAATGACTTCCCAACTCTCTTCCTCGTCTCAACAATCTGGTCCAATAAAATAACGTCTTCAACAAGTCCAAAAGAATCTCTTGCAATTGTTGGGCACATCACTACCGCACCCAACCGCAAATAACTCGGCAATATAATTAAGCTGCCTATTTTATCTCTTTGCACAAATAAATGAGGACCTCTGCACGACGCTATCTGCTCACCACTTAAGCCAACTTACAGTTGTTGATACACCAACTCACCTCAATTATTTCCCTCCTCCAACCTTGCATAACAGGCTCCATAATTCTAGCAAACATATCATCTAGAATACAATTAAATCTGTCAGCTCCAGTAAAAAATTCTGCTGAATTTTGAGTACTTTCCTCTGCTCCTGCATAGCCATCTTTTTTGTCAAATGGGTGGGCCATCATATTTCTCGTCTAAATCAATATCCCACAATTTGGGATGGAAGGAAGTGAAAATATCTGTGTCGAATTCCATCTCAACACCAAGATCCAAAATCGTCTCCCATACTAACTTCTACCACCGCACCCCTTGGAGGGTTTCTGTACTGCCCGGAACCCTTTAACTGGACAGGCAGGGGTTGCATGTCCAGCCACCCGACGTGACCAACATGAAATCTTGTTGGGACATCATAATGGTGATTAGTTGTGCCAACAAGTCCATCAACTGTCACAATTGTGTCATATTTTCCCTTCACTTAATCTCTTCCACAAGAGTTCCAAAAGAACTCAATCATGGTATTGGAGCATCGCTAGTAGCGTGACATTGACTCTTATACCAACTGATGCAGCACAAGCATCAAGAATGGAGAATAACACCTTAATCGAAATCCGTTGATTCAATAGACTATCGGAAAGATATCGCATATTGGAGAAATCCAATATTTTGTGTTAGTTTATCAAAAACAACCTAGAACAACTGTTTGCAAGAGTTTAAATAGAAACAACTAAGGACAACCAAAGCTACACAAAAAAAAGCCTTAACTATCCCCAACTATAAATATTAATTAAAGAGTAACAACAAAATAATAAAAATAAATAGTAAAACAATTAATTAATCCCAGTTTTGAGTTGCAGCATAAAGCAAATTCAATCTTATTGTTTGTGAAGCTAAGTAGGGAGTGGACCAGCTTCGCATCTTCAGACTTTCCAGTATGTAAAAAATAGCAAAACTTTACGTGAAGTAAATGAATGGAATACATAACAAGAAGAAACAATATAAGGTCTCTGTACAATATTTCTGTAACCTTGAGGGATAAAAAACAGACATTTTCTGCGTTTACACCTAATGTTCCCTATGTCTTTTTTATTTTCCACATTGTTTAGAGGTAACATAATTGTAAGGTAGTAAGATTATCATTTACCTTCTCTCTTTCTCAACCTTAACTAGCAGTTACGTTATCATTCTCCCACTTATCTTATACAAGAACTTAATATTGATTCCCACTTACCCATTACAACAAAAATCCTTCTTAGTTCTTTTATTAACAAATATCCAGCACTAGAAGTCCCAAGAAAAAAATAAAAATGTTAGGTGGAAATAATGAATGGGAAAATATTCACCAATATGCTTACCTTAATGACTCGGTGAACGATAGGAATTTCACGCCCCTGTCACAAAACAAAAAGAAGGAAAATATACTTGTTAGCAAGGAGTTTGATCAACACTATCAAAACAAATGCCTAACATTATACCTAACTGATGAAGGCAATTGGAAAATGCCTTCAAATTAAGTTAAATTCTTGGAGCTCGTATTCAGAGTAGATGCTTTGAATTCAGAGCAAGTGCTTTCAAAAGTAGAAGAGTCCACTGCTATGTTCCAAATCATTAACAAAACAAAAAATTATCCATGATCAAGCAATATAAGACTGAATCATGAAACACCTAACATTCAATGCAATTGTTTTAGTTAAGGAATATTTCTACTACTCTGAGGCAATTAGTTTAAACTAGCTTCTTCATTCAGATAGATGAAATGCAGCTCCTTCAAATGTCAGCGTTTATATCCGCTAAAACCATCAAATGTCAATCATTTCACTTAAATTCCCAAGTACTTCTAACGTTCTTCGATCTTTTTACCATTGACAATCAATTTTCCATCCATATCGTAGCAACATGCAGAGGTAAGGGTAGTGGTGGATCCAGGATATTGAGTAAGCTAAGGCGGCCATTGACTCTTGACGGCCACAATAGTAACATTATTTATTAAAATTTAATTAAATTATATTAAAAAAATTTCAATCAATGTATAAATATACTAGAACATAAAAGTCATATACATTTAAAATATAATCCAATACAACCCAAAACAAAAGAGAAAAAAAAAATATTTTCCAATCAAATTTCAATTTTTTTTACAAAATTAGGTGAAATAAGATGAAGTTTATATGTAAAGTATGATTAAACAATAAAGATAAGCTCTGAGCTTAGGTGAAAGTTATGCAAAATTTTGAAAATATTGATTTTTAGAATTTTTCGAATTCTTAATATAATAAAAAGCAACACTTAGATTGTCCAAATTTGAATTTTATACAATAAATTGATAAAATCTAACAATAAAAGTATATATATTATGAAGTAATAATTTGAGCCGATAAATTTTTTAAAGAAATTATTTCGAAAATAAAAACTAATAATATATAATTGTTTAGTCATTATTTATTGTATTAAAAGTTTAAACAAAAAAGTGGGAGTGCATGAAATTGAACCCCATACCTCTCACACTAACCCTTCCGCCATATGAGCTACATTCCCTCATGTTGAAGGTCAGGACAATTATTAGTTTATATTTAGTTATTATTTACTGTGTTTAAATATTTAAAGGAGGAGTGTTGTAGAAGGAATCGAACCTGTGTATCATTGCATGGAAAAGTGAATGCCCATCCATATGACCTGAATACTATTTCGTTCAAAGTTTGTGCAATCATGTATATATATATATATATATATAAATGTTTAATTGTAAATTTCATTGACCCTTTTTCTCGACGGATCCAGCACGGGCGGCCATGCCTGCTCGCTAGGTGCTGGATCCACCTCTGGGTAAGGTTAAGTGAATATAGCCCTTTGTGGACAATGCTGTGGCTAGAACCCCTTGCACTGGATACAACCTTCCATGAACAATATCTTCTCAATTCATCTGCTTCAGCTAATCCATTCATTGGCCCATTTCTAATTTTGGAATATTTTTATTTACTATGTCTGCCAAAGATCAGTAATCGGCACATCAACTTTTGAGTTATAATTAAATTAATGAGTCCTCATTGAGTTCTCCAAACTTCCAAATTTTTTGGAGATAAATACCAATCTTAAGGTCTGAGACGATCTAGAAAGCAATGGATCATGAACAGGAATTGGAACAGGAACACCTAGAAATGTTAGTATGTAGTTGAAGAGTAGTAGCCGCACTAGCAGTTGAACAGATGGCAGTCTTATGCTGACGCCTCAATAAAATTTCCTTATCAACTTTAAATATAATCCTTCTCTCGCACTGTAATACAATAAGATACTGGCTGGAGGAGAAGTGCAAGTAGCATTATTGTTTTCCATTACAATAGTTGCAAAGAAGTCATTTGTCAATGTGAGTCAAAAGTTGAATATCCATAAAATACTCTCCACAATCAATATATTTCCAATTTCTCATGATATAATAACTATCTATTTACTGTTAAAGAGGAGGTTGTAGTTTATTTCCCTCATCATCATTTTCAACCATAAGCATCTACATTGTGTAGATTTCTAGCTACTCAACATACATTTCCTTCCAAACATTCAACACTGTCCCGCTAATTACACTGGCACTGAAATACACTCTTTACAGAAAGAACCAGCAGCTTAGGAAAAACTGTCTCTATTTCCCAGTTTCCCTCACACATGTTTAGTGTGGCTTGACAAGTATCAACAACCATGTCACAGAGAAGTCCTCGCACAAGATGTACTCCGCCACCCCCAAAATCCTTCAAATAATATGGTATCATAACTTTTCTTTTCATATATTTAAAGAAACTCGAAAAAGAAAATTAGAAAACACTCACACATAGAAATAAATTTATTTTTACTTGTACCTATTAGGGGGTTGAGCACACACTAAGTGGGAACGGTTGCTAGTGATTAAGAAAATAATGGATACAATATCTCATACTTCAAGTTACTTGCTCTACTGCTACTAAATGAACTCTATTCTGCTTCTAATTATTTACACAAAAAAAAAAAAAAGGGTTATCCATTTTTGCCAAGTATATTTGACTTATTGTACGATATGGCAAAATTGCACCAAGAACTAACAAATAATACAGGCCATGTGTTAACTAAGAAAATTTTATAAAGAATAGTTGAGTATATGAAAAAAATATACTCAAACAAGATAAAATAACGAACTACGTACATCAGTATTAAACACCACAATTTCCCCTGCCCGAATAGGGTCCTTACTCATATGTAAGAACAAGATGTCACCCTGCACAAAAGTAAATTATTAATATCGAAAGCAATTGAAGGACTAAGTGACTTAGAGAGCAGGAAATAAGAAATCTAAGCATATGAAACTAGCAATACACATATGCAAGGAAGTATATGTAGAGCTGTACTCATAATCGACGAACAAAACACAACATAATAGCTGTTTGTCAATTAAAAATGGCACAAGGTAAGATCCTCTTGATTGTTTAATAACAACTACTAAATCTATGAAAGAAGAAGCTAAAAAGAATTGGCATTTATCTAAATAGTGAAGTCATAAAAAGTGTAACTCCAATATGGCATGGAGTACAAGTCGATTTACACAATGAATACTCTTGACCTAAACAGCCCCAAGAAAGAGGGCAGTGAACAGAGGGAAGTTTAGCAGCGAAAGTAATCTCTCAACTACACAGTGGATAAAAATCGATTATTAATACACACATTACACACAACCAGTTAGCTAACATATATAACTTGGGTGGACATGAATCCCTTTGGGAGTGAGATGCTGAAAGTTGACAGATTCATTTAAGTAGTTAACATCACATTGAGCAGGAAGAAGTGATATAAGCTGTTGACAGCTCACCCTTTTAAAGCCAGGTTCCATGCTTCCGGAGAGCACAACAACAACAGGTGATTCACTTCCAGTGACGCACATTAATCCTTTCCATATAATAAGTGCTGATGTTACAATCATGCCTGAAAGGAAATGTAAACAGATTATCAAGAGCAGAGACAGCATGAAACTAAAAAATATAATTTTGACACTTCAGAGAAAAGATGAATTGAAATAATAGGAAAAGAAAAGAAGAACTCATGTGTTGTTATACACATTAAAGATGAATGGATCACATTGTCTGCACTAGTAATATAATTTACCGTTTAGAGATTACATTTGGCATCATAAAATATAGCTTTATGATAAGGGAAATTAAAGCATTGAACGTGTGTTTCAGTGAAGCATATAAAAGGCCCATCTGGAAAGATGAAATTTTATACCACATAAAATTCATGGCATGAAAAGGAAAGATTATATATTTTATAGCAGAACTGAACATAATCAACATTCTGAAACACCAAAATCATTGTAAGTCAATTCACAAACAACCAACTGTAAAGCCGTAAAGGTCAGGAAACAGGAATGCAATACAAAAACTATATGTTCTGTATATAAGATCCAGGTAATTAGTTTTTTTTCTCTCTCTCTCTCTCTCTCTTTTTTTTTTTTTTTTTTTTTTTTTTTTTTTTTAATCTTCAAACAGAAAAAAAGGGAAGCAACTCCAAGAGATTTTCAAATTGATGTTGCCATTCTTAGTTCAATGCAGTTTGGTACACAAGATTTGGCAATATGAATCATTCAATGTATGACTTCAGTAATTATGCAAAATAATATTTCACATGAGAACTAGAAGAGCTCCACTTTCATTAACACTTCTAATTGTATAAATTCTAATTTATCCAAAATCCCATAACACCATAGAAACTCATCACAAATTTATCGAATCCGAAAATGCCTAGGGGTTTCTATTTCCAGAATCTAAACTCCATGGAAAAATGTCAAAATCCAAACTTGAACAACTAATAATTAAACGTGAAAAATAAATCGAATTTAATCTGAAATCTTATAGATATAAACAAATTTCACGAAAATATACGCAGAACAAAAATTGCAGTACGCCTGCATCCACATCACAAGCATAGATACATATTGATGGAAAGGATTAAGTAACTAACCGAGGCTAATCGCTTGCGTGAGGACTTGTCTGAACTGTAGAGATTTGATTGAATCGATCTGCTCTCCGATCCAACCCATTTTTCTCGCTCCTATCTCTCACTCACTGTGTGGGCAGTTTTCAAGCGAAAAGTACAAAACCCAGTTAGAACAGCAGGTTGACGTGGAAATGATTTTTCTTAAATTTTGACACATCAAATTGGTGAGATGTCAAAATTTTATTGGGACACCATTAGCATCATAGTAGACCGGATGGAAAAAATATATAGTAGGGGCGCCAAGTAGGCTCCATGTCCCTCCAGCATAGCCCAAATCGAATAGTTGGATCGAGGTGTTTACAATTCAATTCGATGAGTTAATTGTACAAATGGTCACCGAAGTTATATTTATGTACTCAATTGCTCACCTAAGTTCAAGACATCGAATTTTGGCTACTAAATTTTGAAAAACGTTGGACGTTAGTCATTGATATAACATTTGTTTAAAACCTCTAACAGAATTGATGATGTGATTGACGGAATACACATGTAACCGTTAAATTTTGAGATGGTCGAATTTTGGTCACTAAAGTTTGAAAAATGTCTTTAATTTGCCAACTAAACATTGAAAAAGGTCTTTTATTGCTTATTAAACTTTGAGATGGTAGAATTTTGATCACTAAACTTTGAAAAACGTCTTCTATTCCTCACAATAATTTTGGATTTAATTAAAATTCGTAATTAAAATATATATTTTATTTTATTTTAACTATTATGTGTTTCGTTGTAAAATTCAAATATTGAAGTTTAAATTTAATTTAATTTTAACGAAAAATTTATTGTGTATTTTGTGGCTAATTAGTAGTCACTTTCTTTGAACAATTTTGCAAGCGTTGTCTATTATAATGTTTGAATTTTACTGCAAAATATGCAATAATTTTGTTATTAAATTAAATTATATCTAAATTTTAATATTTAAAGTTTACAACAAAATACACAATAAGCCCTTGTTTGGTGATGATTAAATTAAGATTTTTAGCATATTTTGATGAAAGTCGATGAAATGTGTAGTTAAAAAATTGTGAATTCTATGAAGTATGTTGTAAATTAATTGTTGACTTTGAGTTTGATAAAATTTTGAATTTAAATTTCTATCAAAGATGGGTTAAATTTGAATGTTAGAATTAAATTAAATTCAAATTTTAATCCAAATTTTATCAACGAATTTTAAACAATTCCAAATTTATTGTAAGCAGTAGAAGATATTTGTCAAAGTTTAGTAGTCGAAATTTGGCAATCTCAAAGTTTAGTGGTCAAAATTTGGCCACCTTAAAGTTTAGTAAGCTATAAAAGACATTTTTAAAGTTTAGTGAGCAATCAAATACTTTTTTCAAAGTTTAGTGGTCCAAATTCGAACATCTCAAAATTCAGTAACCAAAATTTGACTACCTTAAAGTTTAGTAAGCAATAAAAGACTTTTTTCAAAATTTAGTGAGCAATCGAAAATATTTTCCAAAGTTTAATGACCAAAATTCAACAATTTCAAAGTTTAACAGTGTAATGAGGCATCACATATGCATTCCTTTAGCTACGTCACCAATTCCTTTGAAGGTTTTAGACGAATGTTATAACAATGGGTAACGCCCAGTGTTTTTCAAAATTTAGTAGTCAAAACTCGACATTTTAAATTTTAGTGAGCAATTGAAATCATAAACATAAGTTTAGTGACCATTGGAACAATTTACTCAAGTTTTTTATACGAAAAAGTAGAAAAATAAATGTAATGTAAATTTTTGGATTTTCTTAAAATATCTCTCTTAAATGGGCTTGAAAGACCTTATATTGAATGCAAAAGAAGAAATTGTTAGAGAAAAATTCGCAAAATTTTTGGTATTCGAATGATAGTCCAGTTGACCATCACAAGTCCAGATGACCAAAATATAGTCGTTGGACAAAAAAGTTAAGTCAAAACAATCAAATTTTTTATCATTTAGTTTTTTGGTCTATTATCGTCGATCGAAATTTTTTTTTTTTTTTTTTTTTTAATTTTTAAAGGTAAGTGGGTTTTAAAATATGATCTAAGTTCAACTATCTTTTTTGTTCAAATATCTTTTTGAAAATCAATCTTACATTTGACTAAAACATTTTATGTAAGTGATAATCAAAATAACTTTTAGTGTACAAATGATTTTTATGTTTTTATTATTCATCACTAAAAATCAAAGTTTTAATACCCTCACATTTGATTGAAGAAATCTAGTCTTTGACCTTTCTATGAAGTTTAGCTCTTAAATTTTCGTCTTCATCTTTCTTTGAAGTTTGGCTCTTAAGTTCTCATTTTGAAGGATTTGTCTTGAATGCGTGACTTCGATCATGAACTTCTTTGTGAGTTCAATTGTGGTGATAGTCTAGATTATGATCTTTTGACGAGGATATATCGATTTATTATTGAATGCTTCGAAGACTATGACCACTTTAATTCAATTTGTTAGTAAACAAAATTAATTTGTTTGTTATAATCAAAGCTTTAAGGTTATAATCAACTATAAGTCAATAATTTTTTTCGTTTTTGATTATGACAAATAAGATGATTTGTTAAGTAATAACCATAAGGGATGAGGAATAAGAATCTCAAATTTAATATATATTTCCCTAATCTTTTACAAACAAATTGTCAACCATTTAAAGCATATCAAAGTATAGCATTTGATCATTTCAAAGCATATAAAATCTACGAAAGCAAAAAAAATAGCGCATATGAAAGCAATAGTGCAACATGATCATCCCCTTACTAAAACACAAAATGTTGAATATATACAAGTTTAAACAAGAGGATAATCATTACATTTATAGGGAAATAATAATCAAAGCATGAGTGATGAAATGTCAAAAGCATAATCAATTGGGTAAAATTTATAAAATTTCAACCAATGATGCACATAGAATCAATCATGTAAGAATGAAATTTATCTACATACTTCAAATTTATCAATAGTTTCCAAACCTCTTTGAATATATGAAAAAAAAAATGATGTCTAATCTCAATATACTTAGTTCAAGAGTTTAATATGAGATTTTTGTCAAGTTTATAGCACTAGTGCTATCACACATGGTATGTGTATGATCAAAGGATAAATGATAATCACTTAGTGTTTGTTTCATCAATAAAACTTGTGTATAACAACTAGCTATCAAAATATATTCGTTTTCAACGATAGACAATGCAATGAAATTTTGTTTCTTACAAAACCATGATACAAGTGCAAAATCTAAGAAGTGACAAATTTTGCTAGTGCCCTTAGAATATGAAAGACCTAATGTTCTAATGTCATTAAAATATCTAAAAAGTCGTTTAATGGCATTGATGTGCAATTTTTAGGATTAGATTGAAATCTTGTACATGAACACACACTAAACATAATATCGAATCAACTAGCAGTTAAGTAAATAGGGGACTTGATCATACCTGGATATTCTGATTTGTTTATGGAAGTACTCTATTTATTCTTGTCCAATTTGATTGATGAGTATATTGGAGTGTTAATTGGTTTCAACCCTTCAATTTCAACCTTCTTGAGCATGTCCACGATATACTTGATTTGACTAATGAATATTTCATAGTTAATTTGTTTGATTTGGAGTTCAAGAAAGAATTTGAGTTTCTCCATCATGCTCATTTCAAACTCTTTGCTCATACAATTAGAAAAATTTTCACAAAAAGAAAGGTTATTGGCACCAAAAATAATATCATCAACATAAATTTACAAAATAATCATATAATTCTTTTTGACGTTGATAAAAAGTGTAGTATCGGCATTTCCCATTTTAAAACCAGTTTAAAGAAGAAAATTTCTCAATCTTTCATACCATACTCTAGGAAGTTGTTTTAAATCGTAAAGAGTTTTCTTAAGTTTTAAATTTCGAATACTTGTGATATTTAAAATCGGGAGATTTATCTACAAATATTTATCCTTGAATAAAACCATTTAATAATGTACTTTTGCCATCCATTTGGTAAAGAGTAAATCATTTGTGATAAGCAAAAGTAAAAAATATGTGAATGGATTCTAATATAACAATCAGTGCAAATATTTTATCCAAGTTTATGCCTTCTCCTTGATGTTAGCCTTAGGCTACCAATCTAACCTTGTTACACACAATTATCTTATTTTCATCTCGTTTATTTCGAAAAATTCATTTTGTACTAATAACGGCTTCATTACTTGGTTTAGCAACTAAATTTCAAACATAATTTCTTTCAAATTGATTTCATTATTCTTGAATAGCTAGAGTTTAAAATTCGTTAAACTCGACTTCTTTAAAAAAATTTGATTCAATTTGTGAAATGAAAGTACAATTATTAAAGTGGTTTCTTGTGAGATTTTGAGTACTTGCACCTTTAAATGAATCACCAATGATAAGTTCTTTTTGAATGGGAGAAAGCAAACCACCTTCTTAAGGAAGAGATGGATCACTTTGTGCTTCGAGAGTTTCTACCTTGTCTTGTTGCACATTTGTTTCATTCTCATATTGATGTCTAGAATTTTTGGGTCTTCATCGATTTAATTTTTAATAATCATTTGCTTAAAAGGAGTCTCCAAACTTATATCATTTTCAATGTATTTTCTTTTGATCAAGAGATCAGTTTCATCAAATATTACATGCATGGATTCTTCAACTATTAAAGTTCTTACGTTGAAAACTCAATAAACTTTGCTAATATATGAATATCCAAGAAAATTTTCAATATTGAACTTTGAATCAAATTTTCTTTAATATTTAAGATAAAACATTTTACAACCAAAAATTTTAAAATAATTGATTTTTTCTAGAGTTCATAAGGAGTTTTTATTTTCTTTCGACTAATTAAAACTCTGTTCATAATAGAGCTATCGATGTTAATGGCTTCGGCCCAAAAATATTTTGTAAACCATATTCATTTAACATAGTTCGAGCCATTTTTTGCAATATGTGATTTTTCCTTTCTATTACACCATTTTGTTGAAGAGTTTTAAAAGCTAAGAAATTATTAATAGCCATTAATTTTGAAAAAATTGCAATATTATCAAATTTTCCATTATGATCAATCATAATGGTGGTAATGGAATACCCCTTTTCATTTTGAACATTTTTACAACAATACTCAAATGCATTTAGAGTTTCATATTTTACGTTAAAAAATATAACCCAAGTAAATCTATAAAAGTCACCTACAATGACGAAATCATAATATTCGTCACTTAAATATGTGGTTCTAAATTATCCAAAAAGATCC